ACACAGACAACACTGAGGGCAGCTTCACCCCAGGGTTTCCTGGTCATTTACTGATTCCTAGTTGACCTAGCTTTCCGTGTTAGGATCTGAATGAGTCTGGTCCTCTGCCAACTCTGGGTCACCATGGCCTGCCTGCTCGCTCACGTGGCAGCTATTCAACACTGCTGGATCTCCACAGGCCACGGAGATGAGATTTGTTTCCTCATTGATGCTAGGATCCACAGTGGTTGAGCCTGCATAAACCCAAATAAGATTATGAAAATATTTAGACATGTTTATCGGAATCCTTGTGTGGCTACTGTATACTGAAACTGTGGGAGTAGTATTGACTATAGTCATTCTGAACATTTCTCAGGCCACCTTTTGTTTTCAAAATGTACAGTCTTGCAACCTTATATTAATTTAGACAAAGGGTACTCCACAGTGTACAATATGTCAGCTACTCATTTTGGGGTGCTAAACTGTATTATGTTGTTTCTTAGAAGCAGTAGTGTATTTCTCTGCGTTCACCATCCCACTCGAGATTTAAGTTGTGCTTTGGGAATAACATCAACTGATGTATTCATTTTTCTGTCCTTTGCTCAAGTGGTGATGACTGTGCTTTGTCTAAATAAACTAGTGCTGCTGAGTAACTAAAGGTTATAGAGAACTTTATGAGCCAAGAAGCCTTTTATAGAAGAGGCTTTCCCCAGATTTCAGGGATGAGAAGTTAATCAACCCATATATGATGCTGGTGTACAGAACACTTAACCCTATATGTCCAGATGGCTTTACCTTGCACCTTGCACCTTGCTGTTGCATTTATCATGGTGCTCTCAGTAACCTGTTGCCAGGCTTTTTTATGTGAGGCTGGTGTAGTAATAATTTAGAAAATGATGTACCTTGTATAAATGTATAAGATTACGTGTTTATACTACATTTTTGTGCCTAATTCATGAAAACCTGACTGGTAGTTTTATCTATGAAAACGTTTGCCCCCCAGTTGTCATTATTGCTCCATTGTAGAATTTATGCCCCCTTTTGAACCTATTCATCATCATAATCCTCATCATCATCAGTAGGAGCAGCAGCCTGCTGTGCCTGGCAGCACAGTTGGTAAAAGGCCATTGATGACAATGAGAGAGGCTTTTCCCTTTGTGGTAATTGTGGCTGAGACAGTGGAGCAGTGTGCAGGTTAATCCCTTAATCTTCATTAGGATAGTTTGGTAACCCGAGAGCCAAGTCGTTATTTGTGCTCAGCACACTCAGTTTAACCTAGTAGCTACTCACCAGTGGTGCCTCTTCAGCAGCCACGAGCACCCATACCAAATCGATTGATATAAGCAAGCACTAACATATAGCCATTGTAGCTGAATATCCCAGGATATTGTTTAAAACTTTTTAAAGTAGTATAGTAGTCTGGGTCCAGAACTCTGAATCATAGCACGCATCTCTGGTTTGTTCAGCAGTTCAACTGAATGAATGGAGAAACAAAATGATAATTGAGATTATTAGTCTAATCTATAATTGGGTAAAGAAATGTAGTTTGCTAGCATTAATGATAATACCGCCTACTTCTACGTACTATCACATACTGTCATGTCAAACCTTGAATCAAAATTTGCTAAATGTTGTCATACTATGAGATTCAGATTTCTCAGGAAACACACTAGTTTAGGGGTAGTTGGTCATTGCCCGGAACATTGGGGTTATTACAGGTTACTTCAGAGACGAACTAAGGCCATGCTATTTGGCATGTTTCACAGTATTCTCCAAGTTTTTACTCAAAACAAAATCTTGGCTGACTTGGAGAATTGTTTGCAGTATTAAAGGTTTGCTGCTGAGTTTTAGACCTCTAGTTGTGCCATGGAGCTGTTTTTCGATGAGTGCACCCTTGTTTTGTTAATATGCACGTGATGCACTATTACACTGATTGACAGGTGGTGGTTGCATGCCAACATACGTGTGCTGTGCGCCATCAAAGGCGGGGTAGATTGCATGCTAATTAACATAAGCAATGCCGGATTTACAATACCTAAAGCTTTGAAAATGTTTTATTAGATCTCAGTTATTAGGGCTCAAAGATAAACTCATACATACAAGTACGTTTTGATGAGCAACACTAAATGTAAACATAACTTTGTATGTTTACAGGTTAAACTCACAGAGCCCCTTTTAAATTAGGTTTTCAAACTAATAGATAGAATGAAGCTGCTACCCTGCAATGTGCAAAAAATAGGCTCATTCATTTATCTTCAAGGCATGGTTTTATGCCTGAGATGATGACCCATTTTAACTTTGGTGGCTGATTTTTGTCTCTGAGTTGGATTCGTTGTCCACAAATGTTCTGCCAAGATTTCAGGCCTCTGTTTTCTCCTGTCTGCCGACAACATGGTGTCCGTTTTGTCCCACAGGAGGCTTTTCTGGCTGCCTCCGATTTGGCCTGCGCCCATACTGTCGGCTTTGGCAGTGTAATTTCCCCAGACAAGCTGATGGTTAGTGTTCATCCTGCCGGCCCAGTCAGTGTAATTTAGTTTGTGTTGAGAACGTCTGTTCCCATGTTGAGATTCTGTCTGATTTGTCTTGACTGTGTCATTTTGGTCACTGTCAAGGTCTCCACATTGAATGGATGTAATGCTAGGTTGGTTACCCAGGCCTATCTGTATTTTTTCCGGAAGTGGTGCTTGTTTCTCGTTGGTGACAGGTTCACATAGTCTTACACTATCTATTGTGTAATCCATGTACATGGTGTCTCCATCACACCACTGTTTTGGCATGTAATAAAATTAGCTTTGTGACTGATAAATTGTCTAATTGTGATAACACTTTTCATAATGTAGGTTTAAAATTAGGGTTGGTAACGTTGAAGAAACTAGCAAGAGATGGCTAGATTTTTAAATTATCTATCCCACCCCCTCCCTTGAGGCCTCCCTCCAAAGCCATTCCCCCAACAGTGCCTAACTACTGCTGGAGGACTAGTCCAGGAGAGAGCATTGGGGAGAGGAGCTCAGCACATTTTTGTCAGTGTTAACCATATCCAAGTACCTCATAATTCATTCATACATAGTTCTAACATTACACACTTCAGAAAATAACAAATTCCTTCCAAATTTTGGCTGCTCTTTCTCTGCCATTCTCGTGCAACTAGCTTGGTAGTTTTAGCAATGTTTGCGTGGCGGTCTTGTTGTGGAAGCAGGTAGGTAGGCTGACAGGTCAGCCAGCCAGTAACGTTTTTCAGTGCGAATGAAATGATTGTCTGGCCTCATGACAGGGCAGTGACTGCAACGGATACTGGATTTGTTTTCTTTTTTTCATAGCAATTAATTTATTGATTGCTGGTGTGAAGAGAATTTCACACAATATACCAAAAACGCTTCTGACAAACATTACTTCCTCCAACTCTAAGTAGGATGTTGACATCATTCTTAAATGAATAAGGAAGTCAGAAACTCCCCTATGTTAAAGTAGGCTGACTAAACACTAATACCCTCTATTGTCTGCTGTTGTGAGTATGTAAAGGTCTAGTCCCTTAAATAAAGTATGACCCCAACTTTATCAAACTTTATTTCCAGAAAAAAAAAAGTAGCGTTAAGGCCAATATGGTAGTGAATAAATGTCTCTGGCCCTCTATCAGATAAATTATGTAACTTAAAAGGTATGTATGTATGTAGGTATGTATGTATGTATGTATGATACAGAGTATATTAATAGCCTATGTATCTTATTTTCTAAAGGAGGCTAGTGCGTGTATAGTTGGCTGCTGTAAATAAATGCTCCTACAATAGCATACAATAGTATGCAACAGCCCTTCCACTGCAGGCTTTACATGGTATTGTAGATGTTGGACAGCATTTCCTTTGGATCTGTCTGGTTTTAGAAATAAAAATAGATCTCACATGCGGCTGAATAGAGCAGAGCATTTTTACTTCCAATCTTGTGGTATTTACTTTTGTGTTATTAGACAATGGCAATGGGGAGATGACAGAAAATAATGCAAGATAAACAAGATGACGAGCAGCAAAGGATGTGATTTGTATCTCCGACAGATGTTAAAGGCATATATATGTTTTTTTTTAGTTTAACACCACCTGTAATTCAGTGACAGGTGATAAGGATGTTGGTCTGTCTGATGGCAATCTGATGTTTATGTAACTCCCTTTTACATCCCTTAAGTTCACTGTCGCTTTTATTGCCATCATCGTGTTGGGTTTCTCTGCCTCTGTTCTTGGCTTGCTTTGTCTCGCTTTATAATTGTCACAGGATTGTCTAGACAGTCCCAAACAAAGCATCGGCCTGCTTCAGGTCACCTAGGAGGGAGATATTTAGGGGCGGGGGGTTAAAAAAGAAAACGTCATAAAAACCGAAACACAGACGTACTCTTATACTCTGTCTCTGCTGAAAGCCATTGTATGCTCGCTGTGATGCAAACCTCTAGTGACTTGCTTCCTACAAGACAGAGTGCTTGTCTACTCAATATTTTACAAGGAGAATCTCTTAAAACTGGTCTTCTGGCCTGTGATGGGAGAGTGAGAATGGACAAGCCAATATGTGGGCAAAAAGACTGCAGTAGAAATGGATAAATAATGAAATATTTCAGTTAGCTGCTTGGCTTTTAGTAAAACAGTTATCAAAGAGAAACCTAAGTAAAGCATAACAGTCTTGCCTAACATTACCACTGTAATTTTAAGTTTGTAATATCACTAGCAGGCTGAGAGATGTGAAGAAAGCACTAGAATGTTAAGCAGGTAGGAGGCTAATGATGCACTAACATGCTGCATGACACACTGACAATGAGTAGGATGAAACACATTTACCGCTACTGATGTGTTTGATATAAATAGATTATAAAGAATAAAGGAATATGTAAGATCACATACCGTGCGGCTTGTTTTTATTTTAAATTTCGAAAATGTGAAATTCTGTGTAATTTCTTTGAGTAAATATTAATTGGAAACATTACATACTGATACTAATTTGTGAAGGTCTGTCATTAACATCTGTCTGTATGTCTTCTCTTCTAGTCCTGTGTGCAAAGAACCTGGCAAAGAAAGACTTCTTCCGTAAGTAGAACCTATTTTTATTACATGATGCTATTCCTGTCCCATTCCCTTGTGCATTAGAATGGGCTTTGTCAGCAGTGGCAGCTTGCTGGCTTTTGAAGCCAAGCTGTAAATGAAGTCCCTTAGGAGCTGTCTGTCTGTCTTTATACACACCAAGAGACCTGGCACGCACAGGGACCCACCGCTAACCTAACTTCTAGTAATAGGTATCAGATCCACTGGTACAGTATGACTAGACTTAATTAAAAAGCCTTTAATTAAACTGGACAGAAATATTGACTTATTAAAACCAGCTCATGGCCAATTCTGAATGGAATAAACACAACCTTTAGTAAAAATCATCCTCTGATTTTGCCTTTTTTCATAAAAATGTCACATGGCATGTCAAGTCATACAGATTCTTTAGTGGAGAAAAATAGGTAGACATGAACATTTTGGGCGAGTGGTACAAGTAGACCTTGTCCAGTAGTGAAATGGGACTTGGACTTGATTGGATAAAACACAAGTGCACATACTAACTGTTGGAGGTCATTTGGAGAAGGAAGTAGTATCTTGTTTTCTTTATGGCTTCTAATTTACTATTAGTTAACAGTTAGCTTGAGGCAGTTTCATTAACCTCTGTTTAGGTGATCAGGACAGGATGCCTAACCTCTGCCGCTGGCTTTAATGTAAGAGGATATGTATTATTTAGTTCCTCTGAGACATTTTTCACACACACACACACACACACACACACACACACACACACACACACACACACACACACACACACACACACACACACACTTCTTAGCATCACACATCATTTATCTAATTGCCTGTTATGGTCATAGTAAAAGCCTTATTGCAACAGTAGTTGGGTGTTTATTTAGGAGTTTGGTTCTCCATTAACCTGAAAGTCATGGATACAGACAATAGCGAGTAGATTTTTGTCTAACACGCACACACGTGCATACACACACACACAACCGCAAGAGAGGGAAGTCCCACGAAAGTATTAGGGTGACTGAACTGGTTTGACTTGCGTGAAGTATCGGTGCCCAGAGCTATATTTAAAAAACACACACATGCATGCACAGTCACACTGAGAACACTAGATAAACGCACCAGAAAAATTCCTTTATCAGATTTCCGTCTAAATACGATACTGTGAAAAGACTTGCCCTATAGTTATTAGAGTAGAGTAAAGCTTTAATAGCCCCAAGGAGCCATTTGGCTTACAGACAGCAGTCAATAATACTAAATACAAACAGTACAACAATTAATAAAGATGGCAGTCAATACAATACACATATACATCAAATATATACATAAATAAACACCAGTACACAGGTTTACACCAATGTCACTGTCATTGTCACATGTCACCAAAACCCCTCAGAGAAAAACTAAGTAAAGTTTAATGATTCCCAAATATTTGTACTGCGGGGTTGCTGTCACAGGCTCCACTCTAAGGCCTGTAGGAGCAAAAGAAGTAGGTCTCTTGAGTGTCAATGACACTATTTGGTCTTCAACACGTTCAGATGTAGGAAAGATTGTTTACACCAATTGACAAATTCTCCTACCAATTCTCTGACTCTGTTCTTCATTTTGCAGAAGTCTAATTACTACAGAGTCATCTGCAAATTTAAGAATATACCCGTCTTTATAAGTCTTACAGTCCTAATCCTGATAATCAATCAACTTTCGTGATGTGACTTTAGTCACAGTAGATTCCATCCAAATTGTAGTTACCTTCTGCTGTTCCAAATAAGATTGAATTATATATGAGAAAATTACAGTTTGTCTAGGACAGCTTTTCAGGAGTGTACCCTCAATGCGATCAGGACCAGGACCATTACACATTGTGACTTAATCAGTCCATATCTTAAAGCCCTCTACCGTGTCTCTGAACTCAGAAAATGTATGATTAACCCTGCATCACTCTAATAATGATTGATGCACGTTGTCCACATTTGCTTTATGGTGGATATAAACAACTGTAATGAATAATAAGTAAGGCGATAGATTAAAAAAACAAACACAATATATAATGGTGGCTGCTTTATATTTTTAACCATTAGTAAGATGGCTGTCCCATTTCTTGAGTCAGTTGTTCATGTTCGCATTTCATTGTCATCCTGGGATGTTCTCCCTCTCCTGCCACCTGCGTATCGGCAATCTCAAGTATCCGTGATCGGACGATAAGGAAAAACAAATGATTGCCTAACCCTAATTGGACTGTGAAGTTCTGTTCTGTGAGCCAGATTTTGGTGTGAGCAAAGATGCAGGCATCCCAGTACTCTGACAGTAACTTTGCACTTGCTTTCAGTTCCTCTATGTTATTCATTAAAGACTGCACATTAGTAAGCATGATAGAGGGCAGGGGTATGCTGTGCAGCTGTTGTCTCACAGGCTCTCTGTCTCTCTGGCACACTCCTCCTTCCCTTCCTCTCTTCCTCACCCAAACCGTCCTGGTCCTAGTAGATTACATTCCATGGACTTCCTCAAAATCACCAGCTGTAGCACAGTGCCTGGTTCCATTTCCACGATGCCAGAATTAAAGCACTGAATGAGAAATTCTGCGCTGTACTTAAGACTGTGATGCTGGTTGTACTTTTGCAAACCAAACACGGCTGTAAAAAAAAGACCAATATCACCATCAAGGAACAAATCCCCTTTCTCCACGCAGGGAGTATCAAACAAACAGACTAAGGAACAACAAAGCAAAATGACAAACAAAGAAGACTGCTGCTGTGGACTCCACAGGTGCAGTGCATCTTGTTGACTGTTTGAGGAAATTAATAAAACAGATGAAGAATTTGAGTTGAAAAAAGTATTTTTCCTCACCAAAAAATGTGTTTAATGTGCCTGTCGTGTAAGATGTTTGAGGGGCACAACATCAATGCAAGAAGACACAATGACACCAGGGACCTTCCCTAGGGTGTTCACTTAGGGCCTGTCCACACAAATACGCGGCCTCACCCAATACGATGTCGTTTCGAAAAAAAAAATCTCCGTAAACAAGGCATCGTTTCCAGAAATATCTGCGTCCACACGGATTCACTGAAATGACCCAAGGCATGTAGTACATATGCCAGGCCTGTATGTGGCGCTGTGACGCCGCCACACCAATACACTTAGACTGGAAGAGAAGCCATGGAGCATACACTGTTTACAAACAAGTAGTAGTAGTCCGCCCATTGTTGTTGTTGTTATGACGCGTCTAGCAGTGGCGGCTGAGGTTAAAGGCTAGAGAGGCGGGGCTAATACGTCATCGTTTCGGAAAAAATCAGTTTTCGCCATCCAGACGACTCCGGGCAATCCGGTGTTTTGAGATTTTCCCACTCTGGGACCCGTTTCCAAAAAACCAGAAAAACGCCATATCCGTCTGGACGCAAGGCCGATACGATAAAGTATTTATCCGGATTCGAAAAAAACGTATTCGTGTGGACGGGCCCTTATATACTTCTCAGATGGACACAGCGACACACACATCTGTGGGCAATGTAAAAGGGTCAACAGGCGTCATCAGACCTGGTTTCATGAGGCTGCTCGGCTTTGGTCAACAATGGTTTCTGTTAAAAATGGGGATAAAATTTAATGTTTAACAGCATTAAACAGACTACCCTACTAGTTTTTAAAAAGCAAGCGAACAGAAAGAACTGGAATGGAACTTGAATAGGTACTTATGTAAATTAATAGTCACCATTAACAGACACAACCAGAAACCAACTTGTGTGTGCTGTTTCATAAAAATGGGTCAAATGTGGGTTGAACATGTCAATCAACCCATGTATTTCCTCCATGAAAGAGGTATTGGTGACCTCACTGTATTTGTACAGTTGCTAAACAAAGCCTTTTCACATGTCTCTCTTTACTTTTACAGGGTTGCCAGATCCTTTTGCCAAAGTGGTGGTGGATGGCTCAGGACAATGCCACTCTACAGATACTGTGAGAAATACGCTGGACCCAAAGTGGAATCAACATTATGATTTGTAAGTCAATAGGAGCACTGAAACAGTGTGACATGTTGCTATATGCCGTTTAGGCTTCATTGAATTAGGAAACGTGTGTGTGTGTGTGTGTGTGTGTGTGTGTGTGTGTGTGTGTGTGTGTGTGTGTGTGTGTGTGTGTGTGTGTGTGTGTGTGTGTGTGTGTGTGTGTGTGTCCGTACAGACTGCATTGTTTTCACAGAAATGCTACATACTGGTTCTAGTATGTGTCTGTGTTGAACTGCTATGACAAGTGTTTCAGGAATGTAGATTGAGTCGACTCTTTACTGTGTGCAGAAACACCCATCTATAAAGCTTTTGAGCTGTTGTCTACAAAAATCTTGTAGAGTGAGATTTTACACATTCCATATCTCAGGCCTCACCAACACCTATGCAGATGAAATTTTTTTTTGGGTGGAAACACAACTTTTACAGATATGAAGTTCCTTCTTTCTCAAATACCAGATTCTTCCTATTTTGGGTATTGGAAGTACTCCTGAACAATGTCCTCTGTGAATTAGAGTTTGCCTAAATTTTTCTGGCTTGCTCACTTTCTCTGAGCCAAATATGGCTTTACATAGGCCAACACACATTTAGAGTGCTAATTTATTTTAGTAATCTCTTTCAAGGTAAGCCACATATCAGCCTTTGTGAACTTTCTTCTTGAAAGCTTCTTTTCCTATCAAGGAAGCTCTCTTGTCAGGCTCAGAAATGTAAATGCAAATCATTGGTATTTCAAACTAAATCTATGAATAATGCAATGGTCAAAGAAACTGAAAGATGCAGAAGGGAAAAGCTTTCTGCGTGGTAATTATTGTGCTCATTGGTCTCAGAAGATATGGACTACAAAGACAAAGACTAGAATGGGAACAGCATTCCACTCCACACTTGAACCGGTGGCAGGAGGGGTGTTTTTATTGGGGCCGTGTGCTGTGAGGTGTACTGTGTTGAAAGGGTGCACTCGAGAATTACAAAAGAGAGAGGTATAATAGTAAACAATAAAATATGAATGACAATGGACATCTTTGGGTTTTGGTTTGTTTGTCAGACAAAACAAGACATTTGGAGATGCCTTAGAATCTGGGAGCTTGTGATGGACATTATTCACAATTTTCTGACATTTTATAAACCAAACAATTAATCTGTTTTTCAATAGAATAACAGGTAGGTAAATTAATAATGAAATTAATTGTTATTTGTCACCTTAATTGTGATTAAACCTAGTTGTGGAAGAAGAACGTGTATGTTTCTGAATCATTTAAATGTCCATGCACATGTGAATATATTTGTGCCTTCATCATTTCCCTATAACAACAAATACATCCTACCTTTCTGGCCACACTTTCATTTTCAAACACACACCTGTTTGCAATGCTCCTTGAGCTGTGTCAACCTCAGATCCACTCAGAGGAGTGCGTTTCCCGCCAGTGACCCCTGGCCTCTTCCTCTGGTTCAGGAAATGGCTAACATGCCACAGAAAGCAGATGGGAGTGTGGGCTTGGCAGATTACCGTCTCGCCACACCCCAATCTCCAGCTTTAGGAGATGGGGTCTTTACCCACCCAGTGATCCCACCAGGGAGCTTGGTGCCCTATAATGCGTATCACGCATACCCTGCAATAATTATATACCTTTTAACTAAAGTTGGGGCTCTCTGATACATGTCGGTGTTCTGTGTCCTAAATTATAGGCCGAGCCAACTTTTTGAAAGTGTTGAAAGTTCACGAACTCACAATAGTATGTAGGTCTGGCTTTGGCAAGTTGCCTCCTCATGCTTGGCCTCCAATTTCCAGCCTTTTCAGTATAACTCTTGACATTGCTTTGGTTACAGGGTCAGATTCGCTTTCTGCTTTCTCCTTCCTCTACATGTTGTGCTGTGCATACCATGTCACCTCATGAGAGTCTGTTACCTTACCAACCTTAATGCATACTGCCTGAGAAAGATTTGGTTTGTCTACAGTCATTGAATATATCAGTGGCACAAGCATTGCTACAGTTACATTTACTCCCCCTATGCATTGCCGGTAGTTGGTAAGTTGACTCTCTTCATCACAACCTACGTATCACAAGTTGTGGAGGTCTGTATGTCACATATAGCCACCTACAGTGTAATTAGAAAGTGAGTAACTCCAGATATTGAATGGTAGTGTTTCAATATGGGGAGAGTATTCTCTGCTCCATTCCTGTCTGCAGGGAGCCTTACATATCTACATTGCACCCAGAACGTATTATACTTTATAAGTGATGGTACTGCTTAAATATTAGCAATTTTCCATTATGAGAGACAGTGAAAGTCTGTGGAAGTGAAATGGGGTGATAGCAAACCGGTTTGAGGGAATTGAGGAAAAATGCTTTGGCATTAACTCAATTTACATAAATCAGATCAAGGTACCTGATATGGACAAGTCTGATTTATTTTTGTCTTTATAGATGTTATCAACTGAAGGCTGTCCAACAGTAATATGAAATATATCCAATCTGGAAAGAAGTTGTGTTTTTGATTTCACAATTTAATGTACGTTCCCTGGCAAGAAAAAGTTTGGGAAGTCTTGCAGGTCTGGATTTAGTATGTCCCTGAAAGCTAATCTGGATTTGCCCCAAGAAAATTTTTTTCCCCTCCACTGCTGCTGTCTGTAGGATTAGGAGTGATTATCCTTATTTTTGTTGTTGCCGTAACCACCTAAAGGGTGTGTGTGTGTGTGTGTGTGTGTGTGTGTGTGTGTGTGTGTGTGTGTGTGTGTGTGTGTGTGTGTGTGTGTGTGTGTGTGTGTGTGTGTGTGTGTGTGTGTGTGTGTGTGTGTGTGTGTGTGTGTGTGTCAATTGCTGTGTCTCTAACTATGTTGTCTGTGTGCTTGACCACCAGCGTTTAGTAGTTAATCATATCGGAGTTTCCTGTTCTTGTTTGTAAAGTGGATTTAGTGGTAGTTTATTTAAATTGAATAAATTAATAACCAAGCCCCTTATGTTTTGAAATAATTAACATGTTAGCACAGAGATGCAAATACTGCAGTTTATTTACCTTTTAGCAGTTCAGTCCAACCACATCCATGTAAATTTGTGGTTGGTAGCTGTCCTGTTATAATTACCTCAGTAGCTACAATCTTATGGACACAGGGTTTCCTAACACTGTTTTTTGTTATGAGTGAGCAAATAACATTTTGTTCTACCTGTTCTCTTATCCTCAGACATTTAGTCATTGTCTCATCAGCTATTTCAGTTCTCTTTTTTTTCTGTTTCAAATGCATCACATCGGCCTGTTAATCTCACAACCACACTGTGAAGGGAAGAGCACAAGATTAAATTTAGAACATGATGATGTCCTCAGAGAGACGTTTTGAATTGCACCACAGCAACCAATCGCAGGGGACTAAATAGTAACATAACAGTACAAGCTCTAGTGCATCTGTTGATCAGAACATTGCCCTAATGCTTTGATCAAAAAAATAGATCAAATATAAGAAAAAAAACATTTGGCTGTTCTTTTTCATTTTATCTTTGAGCAAAAAATCATTCAAGTTGTCCTAACTAGTGCAGTATATTCTGTACAAACCCTCATATTATAATATGACAGAAGCCTTTTACAAGATGGAGAGTTTGGAGCAGCTTACATACAGTGGTTTCTAGTCTGCAAGTATCCACTTCTTGGCACACAAGCTTTTAATTAACTCACCTTTATTGAAGAAGGAAATCGAAACTTTAATTGCACAAAACTTTGTGTTTTTCCTTTGATTTGTCATCCAATAGTGTTAAATGGCTAGAATGAGATCATAATCATCCACATGTGCAACAAAGCACCGGCCTGGACACCTCTGCATCTGGTAAGAGAGAAAAAAAAAGTGCCAAGATTGCTACTGCATCCTCATCAGATAGTAAATACAGACTGAATCACTTACTTAAAAAGATCCAGAACCCACACAGGTTGTAATTTGATTTCAGTGCAACAATTTTCCATACCAAACTTATACGTTTTGATTTGTTTAGTAGGGAAACCCCACTCCTCGCTTGTGATACACAGCATAATGTCGAGCTTGGCATCAGTGCTGCTAGCTAGGCTGTAATTACATGTGTATGTGAGCGTGTATGTGAGTGTGTCCGTGATTGTGCATTTGAATTTTGTGTGTTTACTGTGGGAGCTGTCTGGGTCTCAGACAGTGGTTGAGCACATCATGAGGACTTCCTCTGTTCTTCAACCACGACTAGACTGACTTCAGCTGCACTAAATCTGCACCAACACGCAAGCACATACACACAAGTTACTTTAAAATCAGCTAATCGGTCTCATTACACAGTCTGAAAGTCTACACCACAAACATGGTGTGCATTGTTCTCTTGCTGTCAGGGAGAAGTAGTTGAAAGAGATGCAAAATGGAAGTTTCAGTTCGTTTTTAATCGGTGTATTTATCAGTGTTTTGGAAAATGATGTGTCGTAACTTATGATTTCATTGAACTTCCATCTTTCAAACACTGTGGTTGATGAAAACCTACTCTGTTCTTTGAGCCTCCTGCAACAAGCATGCACAATGTCTCATTGGACCCTTTGGAATTCTATACATATTGTCAGGATAACAAACTACTCCTATTTTCTGTCTTATTGACCTGTTTTATTTCGCTCCCTGTCAGATACATTGGTAAGGCAGACTCAATCACCATCAGTGTATGGAACCACAAGAAGATCCACAAAAAACAGGGTGCAGGTTTCCTGGGCTGTGTCCGCCTCCTGTCCAACGCCATCAACAGAATCAAGGACACTGGCTGTAAGTACCTGCTTGTGTTTGTGTGTGCATACTCTGTAGGGTTGGGTATCAGTTGGGTTTTATCCGATACCGGTGCCTACTCGGTATTTTTTAAACGGTTCCGGTGCTTAAACGGTTCTCGAACCGGTACTTAAAAAAACGAAACCACACACACTTTGTCAAAAAAACAATACCCTTTTATTTCCAGGGCCACATAGCACGCAATATTATGAGTTTCATATTAAGCAGAAAGTCAGCGGACACTGAGTGGACATAGCACACGTTGTCACTCACGCTGTTGAATGGCAACGGTGTTTGCTAGCCTACTTGACATGCATGATTTGCGGTTGGCATTAAATTACTAGACTTACCTGAAGAGGAAAGGCTGCTGTCATCATCATCATCTGTGATGTCCACCACCACACTGGCAGGGCTGGGAGTCTCTTCAATTTGTCCTGCGAGGCCGACACTGGCTGCGGCTGCTGAAGTGCTTGGCCTTGCGTCACGTAGGTTATCAAACATGGTGCATTGTTCGGCTTTAAATAAACTCCATGTGTTGCCAGATGTTTCATCAAATTCGACGTGTTACCTCCCTTGCATGCAATTGTTTTATGGCGTCTGTTGCATGTCGCAGAGTCTGCATCCTTAGACGTGAAATGCAGCCAAACCTTGGAGCGTTTTGCCTTCGGCATCTTCATTGATCCTCTCACTATCAGTTCTGATCAACAAGTGTGCTGAGTAGCGGCACTGACGTCACACAAGTTGACACCGGAACACCAGGGGGCGGTAAAAAAAAAAAAAGTCAGGCGCCGAAATGTTCGTTCTTATTCGGTCTGGTTACTACCGTTTACGTCGGAACCGGTGCCCTATTTGGTACCGCGTTTCGGTACCCAACCCTAATACTCTGTCTTTGAACGGTCACTGAAAAAAGGTCACTGATGTCTGGTCTCTTCATGCTCCCTCTGGATGCTTACCACGGCCTTTACCCTAAGGTGTCAGCTGGTGTGTTAGTGAAAGGTGATGGTGAGGCTCCATGGGAAATACAGAATGAATAAATGAATAACTAACAGCAGTTGGGTGAGCCATGCTAACCTCTATTCACACATGTATGCACACACATCCTGCAGTCAGCACACACATAGTCAGACAGACCAGACCTAGTGTCTCCACCAACAGTGGAACTCCATGTCCGGGAACCTTTCCTGTGCCCCTGTTTAATCTGGATGCACCAGTTTAATAGCTAGCTAGCCTGCTGCTACATGTGTATCTCTTTCAGCAGTGCCGCTGTCCCATTCCCAGCTTTCCGTCTCCTGCTGCTTCAGTGCCAGCCATTCATTGCCATAAGATTTATGGGCACAATACACAGGCAACTCCTTTAGGCCACACATATCAGAAATATTGCCTGCTGGAGACATCTGGCACCTGGGACTACATCAGTTGCATCAATTCATTTTACAACAGTGGGACTTTCTGTCAAGGAAGCAAATAGCTTTTATCCTTGGACGCAATACTCCTGTTGATATTCTTATTGTCACTATTTGGTACAAAAAGAGGAAGAATTATGCTGTTTTGGCATAGTTTTGTGATAATCCTCAGTTGACTAGAAACTTGATCCCGGGCGAATGTGGTTTCACGGACACACACATTCTAAATTGGTGAGTTTCCCATCTGCATGTCTTCAGGCTGCTGCCCCTGTGTTGCCCTTTTATTTCCAACTGATCTTATTTTCTCAGTGCAGTCCACATGGCCACATGCTTGTTAACTCTGTCTGCCTTGTTGGCATAACCAGTCAATTGATACTGACACATATACAGTTAACTGTAGTAAATACTGTAAAATTAAAATTCCTTCCACTCATTCTCCTCCTCTCTTTCAATCCATCTTTGTGATCTGTCTTAAACACGACAGTCATGTGCCAGAACCACCTCACTGAATTACATTTTTCTCCCCATTTTTTTAATGTATCTGGCATTTTCTTTATTTCCATTCATCCATTCTACACAGTCACACCCCACAACCACTTAAAGAGTTGTTTGTCTGAATATAATTGGATGCTTTTTTATCCAAGCTGCATAGTTTGATACTTCCATGAATGCAAGTAGTTGTAATTTGGTTGGCCCAGATGTAACAGCCTCTTACGCCAACTCCAAACTGTCAAGCTAAATACTTCACATAAGAGTTCAGAATACGTTCCAGCAACCTTTGTTTGCTCCTAAATGGCACTTTTGGCTCATAAAGTTCACTCCCTAATCCACCAAAAACCACAACAGCGTCAGTGTTGCCACAAAAGGGACCTTGGCGACCATGGAAGCTTGCAGCCATACTTTTACTCCACTGTGTGCTAACGGACTTGCCCTTAGTTTTACCCACATCTTCCAGAAACAGACAGTATAGGCTCCAGTTAGGCTCCAGACCAGCCACTTACTGTATAGCCAACATGGCAGAAATTATACTTTATCACAGCCACAGGAAGTGGACAGGGAGACATGAGCTATGACAAGACACCAGTGCTCAGATTATCCTTTTGTCCTTGTCCTATGTGCTGCAGACACATGAACAGTGCCCAGTCCCTGGTCTGGCCAGGATGCACACACGTACACAAAAAAGACTTTACTGGAATTGTCTTGGATCCTAGAAATCATATTCTTTCACATAGCTCACTTTGTCATCCAACGCAAGTACACACTCACACAAAACACACACACTTGCAACCCAAAAGGGGATCTGGGATGATTGTGTAGTTTACTAGAAGTCTGTCTGGCTCAACACTGAGCACCACTTCCTGTGGCGTCACAGACACAAACCTCTAAGCCCTCTGACCCACTTCTGAACCTACAAACTCACTAACACACACCACCAGTTTTTCAGAATGATTTGACTGACTACACGTTAGTCAGCTACGTTTGAACCTCTTAATTTGTGTGTAGTATTTATAGTGTTGTAACAGCTTATATTTACTGATACAGTTTTTACATAATGCATACCAACATATCACACACACACACACACACACACACACACACACACACACACACACACACACGGAGATGTGATACGATGTAAATAAGCTAAACACAACAACAACACACACATTTACATGCAGTTTGTTCATTGTAGCGCACAATTTTCCTAGCTCTTAGGAATTGAATGGTGTGGTGAGGGGTTGTGGTTAAAGGTCTGTAAATGTTCTGTCTCTCTGTTTCCCTCTTCTCTTATTTAAGAGAAAAATCTGCTTACTATTCCAGCCATGTAAGGCTTAGACCATCACTGTTTAGTCTAGACACGTATCCGGAACAGATGCACACGTAGAGACACACACACCCACACACACTGGAAACAAGCCATAGGGTTGTTTAGATCTGCTTAGTCTATACATACAAACAGACACGCAATTTTATGTGCATGCAAAATCATACAGGCAAACCAAAGACATGACAAATCCAGTCATGACTTTGGTTTTAGTATTAGCACATGGAGAACTAGGGCATCTCTTTATCTCCCCCTCTCTCACTCACTCTGCCTCTTCTGCATATTTCCCTTCCTGTCCCTCTGCCCCCTCTCCTACACTAACACTCTTATGTCTGATTATGTTTTAGGTTTTCATATTTAAGTAAGCCAAAGTCGCTGCAGGACTTTTACCCTGCAGTCAAATACAAGTTGCATTGTAAACGGGAACCAACTGATATCATTCTTGTGCTGATCAGCTGGACTGGTCATGCACAAGTCTCCCAGTGGAATTTAGTGTGTGTGTGTGTGTGTGTGTGTGTGTGTGTGTGTGTGTGTGTGTGTCAGAGAGAAAAGGGTGAGTGGGGAGAGACTGCTAAATGTATCTGTGTCTGGATCTTGTTCAGAGTCTTCCTGGGTTGTGTTTCTGTGCTGTCTGTGTCCGGCAGTGCTATCCTCTGCTGAACCTACAATGAGTTCTTATTTATCCAGAAACAACAAGACTGCTCACATATTTTATGTCCCAAGATTTGTGATTTTTTTTTGTCTCCAAATTTGTATCTTTTTCACACAAAATTATTATATCACAGTTGTGATTAGGGTTGGGTATCGGTTGGGTTTTATCCGATACCGGTGCCTACTCAGTTCGGTGCTTAAACGGTTCTCGAAGCGGTACTTAAAAAAACGAAACCACACACACTTTGTCAAAAATACCCTTTTATTTCCAGGGCCAAATTGAACACAATATTAAGTTAACAACGTAGCACACGTTGTCACTCACGCTGTTGAATGGCAACGGTGTTTACTAGCCTACTTGACATGCATGATTTGCGGTTGGCATTAAATTACTAGACTTACCTGAAGAGGAAAGGCTGCTGTCATCATCATCATCATCATCATCTGTGATGTCCACCACCACACTGGCAGGGCTGGGAGTCTCTTCAATTTGTCCGGCGAGGCCGACACTGGCTGCGGCTGCTGAAGTGCTTGGCCTTGCGTCACGTAGGTTATCAAACACGGTGCATTGTTCGGCTTTAAATAAACTCCGTGTGTCGCCGGATGTTTGATCAAATTCGACGTGTTACCTCCCTTGCATGCAATTGTTTTATGGCATCTGTTGCATGTCGCAGAGTCTGCATCCTTGAAATACGTGAAATGCAGCCACACCTTGGAGCGTTTTGCCTTCGGCATCTTCATTGATCCTCTCACTATCAGTTCTGATCAACAAGTGTGCTGAGTAGCGGCACTGACGTCACACAAGTTGACACCGGAACACCAGGGGGCGGTAAAAAAAAAAAAAGTCAGGCGCCGAAATGTTCGTTCTTATTCGGTCTGGTTACTACCGTTTACGTCGGAACCGGTGCCCTATTGGTACCGCGTTTCGGTACCCAACCCTAGTTGTGATAGTCTACTTCAGTATGTCATGTTTAATCATGCATCTGGAAAAAAGGCCTTGTGTAGATTTTAAAGAACATTGAATTGGTGCATTTTCAATAATATATAATTTATCTCAGCTTGACAATATTACACAAAATAATGGTTCCAAAAGTACTGGTCATCTTTGTCCTTTGTTATGGCACTGCTTGATTTTTGGAACTGTTCAACCTCCTTGAACAACGTGCAGCAGTGTTAAATCAATTTGATAGATAAATAATCACTTCAAAACACAAAACTCTGTAGCATAGCCCTATAGTATGCAACAGAAGTCTGTTTATCATTACACTCAGACACCTCGTTCCTGAAAACTGAAAGGTTTGGCTCAAAACTACTGTGTGATTGTCACAACAGAGGATAAAAATGATTACGCTGGCATCTGATAAGCCTTCAAACTCATGGATATAATACTCAATCTGGCCTTCCTGGATAGTGTTTCATCGTCTCACTGAGGCAACATGCCCACACACCAATGCAGCGTCCTGCAGTTCTGTTTTTCACCCATGTTACTCAGCGTAAAATACAACAAGATGCACATCGCCTCAGTACCAGGATATGTTCATGGTTGTAAATGGGGGCAGAATCAAAGTGTCTTGTTTCGTTTTCTTGCAGATCAGAGACTGGATCTGAATAAGCTGGGCCCCAATGACAATGATACTGTGAGAGGACAAATAGTCGGTAAGAAACACAAACACATACACACAGAATGTCAGTTGCATAGTCTATCTCACAATAGAAAAAGATCATTCTGTAAGATATATCTAGTTGCATGTTAGTCTGGCTCTGTTTACATATTTCTTAAGCTCTTGTCTACATTCAGTGTGCCAAAAAGTTGAAGTGGGCACTTGGTGAAATCCCAGGGCTTTTGTCCACTGTACATTTACTGTCTGAAAACACTGAACCAGTTAACAACTGGGTGACATTGCTACATCTTGCAGTTTTCTTGATAAATATAAATGGATGGTTCAGTTATTTTGCAAATTCAACCTCAATTAACTACCATTAATCATTCTGATACCAAACATTATTCAATATTTAAAAATTAAGAGACTGACACTTGAACTGAGTCCTGCTAGAGACAATTCTGGATTTCTGGATGTCTCAGTGCACTGTAATATTTAAACACTAGACAACACAAATTGACCCAGACTGTATCCTCTGTCTCAATGCTCTGACTCAGATTATTACCTAACCACTGAACCACAGAGTGGAAGATTTTTTCTTTCTGGCTTAGTAATACAAAAGCAGAGGAATATTTTTATTTTTTGTTACCTACCAATACAGTCTTCTATGTTTTTTTTCTTATTTTTCTTTGTATTAATGTCAGAGGAGAAAGGGTAATATGAAGAATATAAAAAGAATATAAAGAAGACAAAAAATTATAAAAAGCATTACTGGAGCTGGAATACACATAATAAGATAAAGTAAGATAAGATATTCCTTTATTGATCCCCCTTAGGAGGGGGATATATTTCATGCCACAGGTACTTTATACAAAATGATGAATAGATTAACATTACTCATTATTTGAGCCGCACTGTATGGATAGGAAAATGTAATTGATCCATGGTCTACCCTGTCTTTGTTAACTGTGTAGTAAGTCTTCAGTCCAGAGATCGCATTGGGACAGGAGGGCCGGTGGTGGATTGCAGTCGCCTGTTTGACAATGACTTACCAGATGGGTTAGTATTATCACAGGTTTTCTATTTTGATAGAACTCCTTCATTATATCAGTGAAGTAATCTTTAATTTGTAGGTGTTTGTGTGTCTGTGTATATTTGAAAAGTGAGGTATATTTAACATTTGTAAACCGTTTATGTGAATATTACTATCCTCCCTTTGAGATTTTGTCTGGTTTGTAAAGAGAGAATATCAACCTTTTTCATTAACTATTTTAATTTTTTCCTGTGCAATTTGTGATGTGTGTGGTGTTTTTTAAAGATACATTTAAAAGGGTTGGTTTTTTTTGTTATTTATATAATAAAGGATACAATGTTTGATAGTGACATGAGCATGTTTGTATATGTGTCAGAAGTGGACAACAGTGTTTAAATGTATGATGCTCTTTTCTCATTGGTTTGTCTTAATCTGTCATGAAACAGCTGGGAGGAGAGGAGGACAGCTTCTGGAAGGATACAGTACCTGAACCACATCACACGTACCACGCAATGGGAGAGACCTACCAGGTACATCTGCACACATACTGCACTTACCATTTTGACGTGGGGGGTCTATTTAAGTGGTTTCCCCACTTTTCTCTTCAAAACTTCCACTCAGCACCTTTCACAACACAACAATATAAATGTATCAATAATGAGTGAACTGCTGTGAATTTCTTTAGCTTCCCCCCCACCAAAACTCACTGACTCACTCACTTACGCACACACACACACACACACAAATAAACTAGCCAGCTAGTCGGTCAGCTAGATTTTACTTGGCCCCTGTTCCTGTAGGAACAACTGTCGCCTTCCTACTTGGCCCATATCAGTGGAGCCATTGGGGGAGTAAGCAAACAAATAGTACCACCCCCGTCCACCGCCTTATCCAATCTTACTACTCTAGTGGCCCCCAGGCATAGTAGAAGAACAAGGGAGGATGGACAGGAAATGACGACGAAAAGGTTAAGTGGTAGGGCATTGAGCGAGTCAGAAATGGTGTTGTTGAGGAGGAAGAAATGACAGTTAAGAGAGGAAGTGATGATTAAGGAATATTATATATAGTTTGGTCTTCCCCTCCATTGTGTGTCTTTAATATCCAACAGCAAGTGTAGCAAACTGAAAGAATCAATCATTTTTTTGCCTTATTTATGATCTCATACAAGTATGTTATGTAATATTCTTAGTATAACTAAGTACAAAAAGGCTGTTCTTGTAAAATTGTCGGTAGACGTTTTTGGTACTCTCGCAATTTTTCACTGGCCCTTGCTCATTACTATTGACAAATGTAATAAATGTAATGTGGTCCATGGGCTAGTCATGAGAGAACACTTAGTAGATGTGGAAAAATGGCTCAAAGACTGGAAAGAAGAGTGGTCTAACATGACGGACGGACCAGGGAAAATGGAGTGAGAGGTAGGACATAAGTGAGGGGGCAGAAAAAGGAAATTGAAGGAAGGAAGGAAGGAAGGAAGAGTGTGTGGAGAGGGGAGGTGGTGGGTTGTGGGTTGTGGGTTGACAGACAAGGTCCAAGGTATTAGATATCTGAGGCGTCTGTAACTCCGGACAGCCAGACAGTGGTCCGACCTACTACACACACATTTTCGCACACACACATACAGATCCAGAAAGTGTTGGTAAGCCAGCCTGTCTCTGTTTGTGTCTGCTTATCACATATCTGTGTGTTGGTCCTTCTGTTAAGTAGCACTCAAACATACATAAGATTTGACTGTAGGACGTATTGTTTGCTTTTATGCAATCCATAATCCCTCATTTCTCTTTAATCTTAACCAAAACCATGAAGCACATTTTTCTTCTTGCAGACTGATGACACAAGCTGTTTTCCAATAATTATACTTCTGTGTATGTCTAGACATCATAAGAGGAAATAAACCGGCTACACCTATGACTTAACCCATAGCACTCCTATAACACATTACACCCTCTTCACAGGAAAACATGGTGCACAGTCGCATACATTCACCAAAACTGAAAGTCGACCCCTTATCACAGACTCATTTAACACACGCTACCATGCGTGTAACTCTTAGGAATGAATACAAACACTTTATTCATCCAGTTCACAGCAGGAAAGTTTGTATTGCTTTGCCAGAATGCTCTTTAAAAAGTGTTATTTCTGATTTGTTGAATAAAATGTTTATCTGTATCACATATAAATATATATTTTGGAATTATGACTATATGAACGGAGATGAAAACAGAATGAAACTGATAGCCTGCATATACACAACATGCACACTCTCTGCTCTTTCCCAGGCCAGCGTCAGAGTACTCTAGCCCATCAGGGCGTCCGCTGAGCTGCGTGGTGGACGAGAACACGCCAGTGATGACACCTGTCAACGGGGCTGAAGCCAGCGGCCCGCCGGGCGAACAGCGAGTCCAGGAGAGGCGGGTTCGATCGCAGCGGCATCGTAACTACATGAGTCGAACACACCTCCATACACCACCTGATCTGCCTGAGGGTTATGGTGAGAGACACAGCAGCGACACACACACACACAAACACACATTCTTCACTACCCGATTACCATTTAAAATAAAAAAAGTAATGAGATCTCATTAACCTCTTGCATTTTATCTATCTTCCACATTTTGAGCAGTGAGGACACCGTGGTAAAAAAATCAGTGTTTATGATGAACACCAAATATGTGTGTTAAGCACAGTAGAATTGGACTGTCTAACGTTAAGGTCACAACACTGCGAGCTGTCCCCCAAACACTGGGAGGAAGAATAAAGTGGGGTGAACAACTTTCTTCTTCTTTAGTCCTTTGTTTTCTTTCCATTTTTAGTTATTAACACAAACTTAGTTTCTATCTTGTTTTGGTCTGTAACATTTAAGGACGCAGTCCGCGACAAATTGAACATTGTGTGAACTCTGCTGATCCATTTCAAAACAATGAGGTCACCTGAAAATGTATTTACCTGACTGACCCCTGTGATGTTTTCAACAAATACTGGTTACATTTGACAGAGCTCAGCCTTGTCACTAGTGTTTTATTTGATTAATTCTTGCATAGATTTCCCATGCATTACCAGTGTAGTTGACATGTTATTATAAGACACAGTCTTAGCAACTGTAGTGCAAAGGTTCCTCCTGCTGTTGGTCAAAGAGTCTAGTCAGGGAATGGTTTACATCTTATTTGTAGCCTGGAGGCAGTGATACACTAAACATTTGTTCTTTTAATGATGATAATAAAGTTTAAATACCCTTTATATTCTCTTTTCTTCTCTCTCTCTCCGTCTGTCTGTTTCTCTCCTCTGTACAGGGGCTCTTACTCACTCTTTCTCTTCTAACTCTCCCTCCTCCCCGTCTCCCTCCTTCCCACAACACCACATCATGACAACTGCAATCAACACTTGCTGTGTGTTAATATTCCGTCTCTCCTCTCCTCTCCTGTTTGCAAACACTTCCCAGTGTTGGAATGTTTTGGCTTTGCAGGCTGATATTCCCACCGCAAATTCAAGGGGGAAAGCAGGATATTCATAGCTCGGCGTTTAGCTCAGAGAGGGCACTTTAGGTTACTGGCTAGTTTTTATGTCTGTAATTATTAAGCTGACCTATCAAACACATTGGGAAAATAATGCAGAAGCTACACAAGTACATTTTCCAACATCTGAATCTTTGTTTTTTTGTACCCCACAATACCCACAGAGTCTGTAAAATAAATTATTATTTTAAGTGTGGTGTTGTATGCCAGCAATCTAGAATGGTATTGTTGGATGTGAGCCCCCTTTGAAATGTCCTGCTGTGTCCACTGAGGCTGGCCAAGGTCGGACAAAGTGAGTCACTGATGCCCAACAGCTAGTGAGCTTTCTTCCTCAGCTGAACCCTCTGAACCAGTGGCTGGGTGTGGTGAGAGAGCGTGAGAGAGAATAAGAGAGAGAGGGAGTGTGTGAGGGGGGAAAAAGAGGGAGAGGCGGGTAGGAAATGAGTTGTGCCAGTAGGAAGTTTTGGAGTGGGGGGGGTTTGATGGATTAGCGGGTGAATATACACACAACCATGCAGCACACACACTTTGTGCCAACATTCACACACTCACTCTCCATTCATCCATGAGCTGGATGGAACCAACAAGCCAGTGTTAAACCATTGTCTTTGGATGTCTTTTTGGTGTCCTTGGTTCCCTTATTTGTTTACATTATAGTATAATAGTGGGTTTGGAGAGAGTGACAGCAGACTTTCATACCTTTTAACCTTTAAGAGAAAACAAGGCAACTAGGATGCATTGCAACTCTGTGCAAGGAAAAACACTCATGGAAGTCTTTGATAAATTTCCCTCACATTTTATTTTCCACATTCTCTTGGGATAGGCCTACTGAAGGCTGGAGAGGAACTAATTGATTACATTGGCGCGTACCTTAAGAAACTCCTGTCCCTGCAGTTTGCCTGTCACATCAATTATAAACAGACTTCCCCTTTCTCCAAAATACACAATCTCACTATGCATGCTTGTACCCACCAGGACTAGACTACAGAACAGTCCCAGCAACAGTTCCAAGCTTGTTTCAGTGGTGTTTTTGCCTTTTCGAAATATTAATTCCAGTCAAATTTCTCTCTGTTTTAGAGCAAAGAACCACTCAGCAGGGTCAGGTCTACTTCCTCCACACACAGACTGGAGTCAGCACCTGGCATGACCCCCGGGTGCCCAGGTAACTCATTTGTGTTCATATTTGTCTATATTTATTGTATATATATTATTATATTTAAAGTTACATACTGCAGCTTTAATATGTTTCTTTGGATAAGTGTGATTAAGAGCTATTAATACGAGCATAATTTCCTCAATGCTACGTTGACACATGACACACACATGATAAATGCACTGCAGTGCTAACGGCCTGTATTGTTTTAATCCTAATATAAAACCTGACAAATATTCCCACAACTGACAGGACCAAACTTGACTAGGCTGGATCAGACCTAATTTCTCACTTAATTGCTTAGGGCTGTGTTCAAAAACATTCTTATTAGTCAAATTTCAGGCTGAAGTCGGGGTCAGCCAAACTAATGACCCCGACTCCAATGTGGACTTGGAAGAACATTTTTGGACAGATGTTGAGTTGAACACGCTACAGGCCAGTGGTTCTGCATTCAATCAAACCGTTTCACTAACTCTCAATAGCCCTCGTTAATTCACCAGAGATTGCAGGCAGTGCTATTGCGTTACATTTTTGGGCCATGTCTCAGTGTTGCTCCTGCTCAGTGATGAAGCACATGCATTTAACATCCAACTCACAGCAGCAACCTCTGGGTTTGGTCATTTTGGACAGAGCTGCTAAAATGACCCAGTATGTTGTGATGAAACCATGTGCTTAGTCCCTGAATGGTGTGTCCTCACTTCACACAAGGACAAAGTACACGCACAAGTTCTCCTTAGGCTACGGCATTGTCCCACATCAGCGCTTAGGTTTCTACTGATGGGGATGTCAGTGAACGGGAGAGAAGAATCAAGAAATTAGAGCAAGTACTTCGTCAGAAGAATAACAGCAATTTTAATGTTGTCGATGCTCTTGGATCTGATGTCAACCAAGATTTCAACACCAGTGTTATTGTTACATTTGTTATCAAAAGGATAACATTTATTGGGGCACACGGTAGCTCACTTGGTAGAGCGTAGGTTCGATTCCAACCTGCGGCCCTTTGCTGTGTTTCGTCTGCCATCTCTTTCTTCCCTCTTTCTTCTCCCATCAAATGAAGTATAAAAATGCCCAAAAAGATCTTTAAAAAAACCTTAATTTACAGTTATTTACATTATTCTTTAAGAAGAAAACATTTCTTCAACAGGTCCATCAGAAACCAGTTAGTTATATCGTGGTGCATCATAATCCTGAAGTAATAACTCTAAGTGTGATGACTAATGCTGTTTGTTCAGCAAGCCTGTTTGTTTTATGCAGTATGTACAGTATGTTTATATTATATTTATATTTATGGTTTAATTTAGTATAATTTTTGCTGATGGCTTCTATTTTTTGGTCAGGGACCTAAGCAATGTGAACTGTGAGGAGCTGGGCCCACTGCCACCAGGCTGGGAGATCCGAAACACAGCCACCGGCCGCGTCTACTTTGTTGACCACAACAATCGAACAACACAGTTCACAGACCCGCGACTATCTGCTAACCTGCATCTAGTACTCAAGTAAGTGTATCAGTCAATGAGGGGCTGAGCATCAATGTGGACAGTATATTTAAGGGCATTACATTGGCTGGGGTTTAGATTTGTGTTACCATGGACATAGAACATTAAATAACACAACTATTCCAAAACAGAAATGCTCAGATATGTTACTGCATGTAAATCTGTATATTTACTGCTGCTTTGTATTGATAAAAGTCCTCCATACCCTGAGTACTTTAACTAGTGGCACTGAACTGGACACTATATAAAGAAGCACAACAAATCATCGGATGCTTCAAACCAGTTTCAGACTGTCACTTAGTAGTGTTCATGTATATATTATGCCCATATGGTCTGTCTTTCATTATTAATAATTGATATAGCACAGTTCATGCATAAGATGTAACAAAAAGTGTTAAACATAGAAGCAAATAATCATGACATCTGTGATAAAACAATAAGAAAAGGGGAAATTAAATCTAATTGAATTAAAACCGCAGGATAAGACGGGATAAAAACACTTTAAGAGAAAATGGTAAGAAGCTGTTTCTGAAGATTTAGTTTGAAGGTGCCAACAGTGTTTGTGCCCCTAAGACCTTCAGACAGACTGTTCCAGAGTTTAGGAGCATAATTGGCAAAGGCTGACTCTCTGTGCCTTTTTTAGTTCTGACTTCAGGAACAGTCAAGAGGTTTGTGTCAAAGGATCTAAGGGATCTAGCCGGCACATATGTCTTAACCTGTAACTGTCGCTCTAGGTTTAGTTTCAGAACCACTCTCTCATCTGTTAGTGTTTTCTGCTGAGGGCTGTTAGCAGGATTGTTTTTAGTGTTTTTAAAAGTAGCTTCAGACTCACACTATCCATCCTGGAAATGAACATGATGACTCCTGTCTGGGGATGCTGAAATAACCTGAAGAGAAGGAAAAGCTGTTTAGGAATCTGTGATACACACTACAGTCATGAATTCACTGCCAATGAATATGTCTGCTGTAAGATGATCACTGATGGCTGTCTTAGCTTCATTCATCTCACCTTATGTTTTTTTTCCCCTCTTCTTTCCCCCATCCTCTGCCTGTCTCATGTCTCTGTCAATGGTCTTTTCCCATCTCTCTCTCTCTCTCTCTCTCTCTCTTTTTTTTAATCTACCTTAATACTGGTTTTCTGTCCTTTCACTCGTCTCCTTTGTATTGCTTTTGTTTCCCCCCTTGTCCTGTCCGTCCTGTCTCACTGTTCTTTTTTTAATCCTGTCCCCTGTTGTTTTCGATGTTCCAATCCTCTTCTCTGTCATTCACCTTGTCTTTTATGCCCTTTTCTCCTTCTTTGTCTTTCTCTGTCTTTTCTCTCCTCCCGTTTTCTCCACCAGCCCAAGTCCAAATGGATCCCGTGTGGCCATGGACAGCCAAAACACTAACCTCAGGTAACCCACATACACACAGACACACACACACACACACACACACACACACACATTTGTACAGACATTCATGCGTGTTCACATACTTGTATGCAGACAATAAACTGCATCTGCATACACACACTTGCACATGGTCTATGGTATGTGAAGAATGTAGTCGGCACACACAGGTTGACAGACATTTTCATACACTCACCCCAGCTGTCTGCATAAAGCAGTTTCAGCAGCCCGTCACTCAAAGCTTTTAACACACATATACACACACACACACACACACACACACACACACCCCGTTACACTATCATGAGAGAAAATGCTGACTGTAATACTTTTCACAGGGGAATGTCCAGTCTGTGTGTATTTATGTATATACGTGCATAACCTTCATCAGGGTTGACTTTCATGTGGATGTCATTCAAGTTCAACACACACACACACACACACACAGGCTGGCTGGCTGTCCGTCCGTATCAGGGTCTGTCAGTCCATCTTTCAATGTGTTTGTGCTGTCTGTCAGCAGTCTGCCTCCACTGAAGATCGGATCGTAGGCAGCTAAGCCAGCTCGGGAAAATAATACTAAACATGTGTTAGCACAGCAGCTGTTAGCTGAGCACCAGTTCTCACCTCTTCGCCAAACACACATGGGCTGGATACTTTAGCAGTGTCTTAGCTCTTCAACTGAGTAATTTATAAATAAATAAATAATTAAACTGACAAAAAAAATGATATTGATACGATAAACATAATTATAGGATTGTTCTTTAAGTATTTTGGCTGTTGAGGAGCTCCGTGTACTTTCCATCGGCCAGTGTGTGAGGCAGGAATCATTACAACAAGAGAAACAGAGAGAGATTTTCACCCTTTGCTTTTTTAGTACAAAGTCTTAGTCAAAACCTCTTTCAATAACAGCGGCTGGCACGATAGACATGTTTGGGAAATCAACATCTGGTCATTTGGTCAAATAGTATCCATATGTGTCAGAACAGCCTCTGGTTGTGAGTTGAAGCTCAGCTATGTTATCCAGTCAGCATCATTAACTGCTTGTCTGACTCCTTATTAGGAGAGATTTGAGGGAGTCCAGACAAAGTTTTAGAGCTTTGAAAAGGTCAAAATTAACAAGCTCTAATTTCTAACGTGGCTTTCCGTGATACATGCTGATTAATGAAAACAAAATTCAAACACCCTCTACGTACAGTTCGTGTCACAGCAGATTTTTATTCTGGCTTTAAGACTATCCACCAAGTCAACTGTTTTTCACAGAGCACAAAAGTAGAACTTGACTTTGGCTCGAGAAATCATTTTGTTAATTATTTTATCTTAAAGGTCCAGTGTGTAACATTTAGGAGGATCTATTGGCAGAAATGGAATATAATATTCATGGTTATGTTTTCATTAGTGTATAATCACCTGAATATAGGACGTGCTTTGTTTTGGTTACATTAGAATGAGCCGTTCATATCTGATGTTTTTACAGAGGCCACGGGTCGCCTTCCATGGATTCGCCATGTTGACCCGCCATGTTTGTACAGTTGCCCAGAACAGACAAACCAAACGTTGGCTGTAGATGAGGCCTTTCACGAGTTTTGCGGCCACTGTACACTTTACTGCCCATTCTCACTCCCAGGTCGTAAATTACTGACACGAGCAGTGTTCAGTTGGTTGCAATTTGCAATTTCACTGCTGGATGCCACTAAATCACACACACTGGTCCTTTAGGAAGTTCAAAACATATAATAGCCTGATTGTAATTGGGTAAATGAGGTCAAACTGAAATAGCATCTGTTGAACTAACATCAGTGTATTTGACTGATGTCCTTGTTTTTAACACATAACCAAAAAGTGGCCTAAACACTTCCTATTAGATATGAAATCAGGTAGAGAAAGACTTAGTGGATAGATTAGTGTAATGCGGTTGTCTGAAAACACAGTTTATTCAATTTAACCCTCTTCTTAGCTTCAGCTCTGAAATGCTAAATTTTATTGGGCGTGCTAAATAGTCTCAACAACACAATCGTAATGTTGGATTGTTTACTGGGTGAGAAGCTCAACTCTAAACACCCTGAGTGACTGGCAGCCGGCCCATAAACAAAAACAACATCAAGTAGAAATACACAGTCTGCACGGGCGGAAGAGAGCACAGAGACAATCTGTTACACACATACTGCACATCTACATACCAAATATCTAACATTTGGCAATTTCAACAGTTAACCTTGCTATACATTCTCAAGTCTAGTGAGACCTCTCTTTATAAAGATAAACCAGTATAACCAGTCAAACCTCATTCATTCTCTATCCTATGCTCCCCTTCCCTCTGCTCCAAAAACTGTTAAAGTTATCAGCCTCTCTGCTGGCTTAGTGTCAGGACATCTGTCTTTTATCAACGCCAGGATTTAAGAATATTTAACCCAACATCCACATAGGTCCACCACACACGTGTACACACACACACACACACACACACACACACACACACACACACACACACACACACACACACACACACACACACACACACACACACACACACAGACACACAGGCACAGACATTCACACCATGACCCTGCTATAATGCACCACTGCATTGACCTGTTTCCATATAGAGAGATTGAAGGTGGTGGTTGTTCGGAGGGGGTTGCATGTCAGGACCAGCTGTGTGCATGTTACCTCGAGTGTGAGGTTTAAGCAAAAATGCATCTTATACATACCTACATATACGTATTCTGTAGAAAGCGTGCAAAGGGAATTTTCTTTTGCATTGAGCTGTTATGCTTCTGTTTCCCTTGTACCTCTGCAGTATGTTGTTGGTACTGTTAGCTTGCATCTTTCATCTTCTTTAGTGCTATTGTTTATTTGGTAAAATGAAATCAAAAGAATTAAATATAGAGAGATGGTCAGTCAGATAGCAGCTACAAGGGAGAGGCTTGCTTTGATTAAGTCAGGGTAGAGACTGAAAAAAGAAACGTGTTGACTTAGAAATAAAAACCTACTGCAAACCACACTGTCAGCCTCAACCTGAAAAGAGACTGATTGCAGTAACAATAAACTAATGAAAGTCTGCTTCCATCAGAGGAAACTGTTGTCAGACTGGATGGTTGACCGAGCTCTGAGGTTACAGCTAAGTGTGCCCAGTTGTTTTGTCAATACAGTGTTGTCACTACTTCCTGTTGTTTGTCTCAATAGCAACTCAATAAATGTAATCAATTTAAAGCGTTTCTCACTTTGCTGTAACCCTAGGTGTTCTTTTATACCTATGAAACCTGTCAAATGTATGGGTTTGACTACAGGAGCTACAGTGTCATTTAAAAAATAAAAAATAAAATCAGATGTCAAACTTTCCAGACACTGTTGTGCTGTGTCTGGACAATTATAACATTTAAAGCATTGTTCCCATTGTCCTGCTAATAAAGACATTTCTGGTGGCTAGAACTTAATAATTGATTGTTGATTTACCCTGCATCCCCTACCCCATTTTGTTGTTTAGTGGGTGTATTCTTCACTGCCCATCTGTAGAAACTGTTTGTGTTCTGTCTGCAAGATTAGATGGTGTGGAACACATTTTAGAGTCTGCAATTTGCACCTCAGTCTACTGATCCTCCAGGACACATCTTGGTTTAAATGTGACTCAGACAGCCCTGGTGCCGTCGACCTTAGACTGATGAAGGCCTTGAATTGTCAGACAGTCAGACACAGCTACATTACTGTGGTCTGCCACACAGTCTCTCACATACTTAGCTCCCTCACTTGCACCAGAACATAGTATATGTCTGGGAGATTACATCAGTGTTTGGTGAAGGTATTTTTAGTTGTAGCTGGATTTAGGCTTAGTGGGCATCAGCAGGTATTTTCCCAACCAACTTATAAATCTTTATGACATTTATATAAACATTTGCATTGATGTTTTTGGGAAATTATGATTATATATTATATTTATTACATTTTGGGTGTGTGGTGTATTTAACCTGTGAAAGATACATATAAATGCAAATTATTGGGTTCACAATAAATCTCACATGATATATACAGTATTTATACAGTATAAATCTACTGTGACTTGATGGTACAGTAAATGCCAGTTGTCTACACAGTATATATAGCATGGTAAAACTGTCTGTATGTGGTGCATTTAAGGGCCATCATGGTACAGTAGAGAACAGGGCTGGCTAGTTTAAGAAAAACTTAAATGCATTTTAAAAGTATTTCACTCTTACCACATCTTACAACTTCTGTTTTATTCTGTTTATCTGTAGTCAGTGCGAACTTCCTTTTTGCTCTCATATACTGTACACAGTATGGTTTCTGTTTATTCTAGTAACTTTGTCATATTTTATTTTATTTTAATGTTTTCCATGGCAAAATAGTCATAAACGTCCAATCAAAGCAGAAAGTACAGCAAAATGATTTCTGTAATGGCAACATTTTGCAAAGCTTTCATGTGGCATTTTCTAAGATTGTTGTCAAATGCAGCATATTTTTGTAGGGTTGATCTCATCTCATCACTGCAGTCTGTCTGCGGTTGATTTCCTGTACTTCCTGTATTTTTGAAACTGGTAGAAGTGTGCAGATGCAGTAGCTTGGTAGGTGAGAAGCAATCACACGTTTACTGGCAAAGCACACACACACACACACATATTACCCAAACAAGTAATTCTATACACTCATGGACACATTTCCACATTCTGTAGATTCAGCTGCAGAGTTCAGACCTCTCTGTCTTTTTGATTTTAAGGCAAGTGTAAGGGAGCAGGGCACCAGCTGATACTCCGACCATATTTACTCATAAAGGGCCCTTTGATTCTCTGGGCTGGGGTGGGGGGTGGGGAGGGGAGTGGGTGTGTTTGGGCGGCTGGTATGGCTTTAACACCACTACACCTACTCAACACTAATTTCAGCCCACCTGTGCCAGCTGCCATGGAAAAGAAACTTTCTCTTAAACACACAAACATGCAGCCTTTGCGCTCTAGTGCATGCACTCTCTCACCTAACACACACCCAGTCTGTTTCCTGCAAACACAGTAAGAGGATGGGGGCCTGTCATGACTCTGCAGGTTCAGGTGCAGGTGACCTAGTTCTGGAAAATGTTCACTTCTTCATTTCTCGACTTCTCCAGTTTCTTTTTCTCCCGCTCCTTCACCTTGGAATAACAATAATAAAAATCCTCTGGCTCTTATATTGAATTTGAAAGTTTATATTTCTCCCCAGTCGTCGTATTTCACCCAAGCTGTCACAGCAATAGGAACCATTTCTCTCCTTTGGCTCGGGCACATTTTCAGCTTTGCTGCGCTTGTATTTTCTATATTTACCATAAAATATGCCGAGCTCGTCCCGTTTGGAAACCAGAGACGATGAACTATGTTGAAACGTATTTTTAATTACACTGTGCCCTCAGAAGGAAAAAAAGTGCGCTGAAATTACGCTTTATTATATGGTTCTTGAGCCTCCCAGCCAAAAGCAACTCATTCCATTTTGTTTAAAGGCCATCTTTTCTTCCCCTCCTTCTTCCTAAAGTGGTTTTTAGGACTGCTCCACAGCAGTCTTACCCTTTCTTTGACATGCTAGGAGCCCCAGCGCCTGCCAATAAAATAAATAGCAGCGGACTTGATTATACAGGGATAGACTGAACTAGAGAACCCAAGTGTACAACGAGTGTCGGAATAAGTGGGTGGCTATGTGTTGCTACCTTAAACGGTCTCTGCTTCCTTTTTATACACCAGTTCAGGCCTCTTGGTGTGCCGTCTTTGTATTTGGCCAACAGCAGCCTCGACACTCCACTCGCAGGAGGACAGTAGCTTCTTTTAAAGAAGTCCTCTGCTGGCTCAGCGTCTCTTCACAGCAAAATGAGGGTTGCTGTCCGGTTGAAGGGGAGAGATGGATTATGTTTTTATGAGGCCCACCCAAGAATCCCACCACCAATGCCACAATGAGGGCTGGAGGAGGCCAGAGCTAGGCATGCTTCCCTGCTCACACCCTTCCCCACACTTAACCTTGTTGTCCTGAAATTGTGGAATTACAAAACAAGGCTGCGCTTTGGTCAGGCAAACATGAACTTAGAGCAGTAGCTTGAATCTACGTTTATCAGAACATAATTTGCAGCTAAGAGAAAGGCATCTTCGGTGCTTGTGCTAGTCAACAAGAGTGGAAGTTTACAGAGATGTTGGTGTTTTCTTTCCCTCCACCTCAAATTATGAGGAAGGGTGGCAGCTGTAGTGGTCGGATGATGGAAGTTCCAGTCGTGGTTGGTGTTGGGCATGGGTACCTACAGGGAATCAAACCTGGCTGTCAGCTTATTTATGTCTTGAGACAGGAAGTAAATATGTCTTGGGATGGAAAGGAGTTGAACAGACACAGCTGGAGTCGGAGATGTTAGACCTGATGGAGGAGGGGAAAGAGAACAAGCCAAATTATCTGTACAGCTGAGCTAGCCAGAGGCGCCAGCTACTCTTACGCTCTTACTCCTTTGTATATTTCTTCCCCTCTCTCTTTCTTTTCCTCTGTGTGTATCTCTTTCTCTCTGCTTACTCAAGGTTTATCTCCCTCTCTCTGTCTTTCCTGGTGGTGATATTTACCAAACGTCTGGTCAAAGGCCCAGCCTGTCCACAGATCTGGATCGGATTTACTCAGGGCTTAGGGCTCTGTTTCATGCTCTTTGCTTTGAGAAGAGTGAGCTGGGTGAGGGCTAGAGTGGGAGTTTCTTACAAAACTCCCTAGTTCTGTGGTTAGAGGATATTTGGGATGGAGGGTCTGGGGAATTCCCTACAGGACATATGTCTTTTTCTTCTATCTTTGTGTAAATCTGTTTCTTCCATTTGAGTCAAAGCAGTGCACAATAAAAAATATAAAATATTCCTAAGGCCATGTGACAGTAAACAGCTGTTATACATCAAAAGGAATTTGGGCAAAGAGCAGCTCAGGACAAAGTAATGTTTAATACTGATATTTAAGTGAATGGTGACTCATACTGACATATGATTCTTCTTTGTCTTTTCCCTTCTCCCCCTCTTTCTTACCCCTCATCTATCCACTCGCCCTCCTTCCTTCCTATTCATCTACCGCCTCCCCTTCAACCACATTATCCCTCCAGTCATCCCCCTCAGTTGAAAGACCAGGGTGGTCCTGGTGCCCCTCAGCAACCTCTGTCCCCAGCCCAGCTGCCTGAAGAGGCCGAGTGCCTGACGGTGCCCAAATACAAGAGAGACCTGGTGCAGAAGCTGAAGATCCTGCGGCAGGAACTCTCTCAGCAACAACCCCAGGCCGGCCACTGCCGCATCGAGGTCTGCCGTGAGGAGATATTTGAGGTAAGAACTGAATAGAAGACTGATACACACAAAAATGTTAACAATGCACTTGTTGTAGTAGCCTATTTCTCTTGAAAACAGTTATGCTACCTAGAAAACTGCAAAAGGAAACACAAACACTACCTTTCTTTATATTTATAGATTGTAAACCATCATGATCGTGAACCTTTTTTTGTCCATAATGTTTTACTTCAGGAGTGCAGGTTAATCTAGAAAAATAGTCTTGAGAGTCAAAAACATGCCCCCCCCCCCCAACTTAACATTTTTCAAGTGCTTTAAATGTCCAGTGTGTAACATTTAGGAGGATCTATTTGCAGAAATGGAATATAATCTTCATAACTATGTTTTTATTAAACTGAAAATCTGAAATTATGAATCATTGTGGGGGTTTTTTTACCTTACAATGAGCTGTTTTTATCTACAGAGGTCCTCTTTTACTCCAATGAACAAACCAAATACTGGCTCTAGTAGGGTCCGTTCACGCTTTTCATGATTTTTGTGCGACCACAGTAGTTTTTTGTAGATGTGTTCAAATGGGTGTAATCAGCAACTTCAATGCTAGATGCCACTCAATCCTGCACACTGGTCCTTTAAACCATAAAAGGAAACATTCGGTTGAGTGTTGAAAGGCATCTGAGTGAGCACAGCTGCAAACACATGCACATAAATGAATGCATAACACAGACTTTACCATAAATTGTGTAATGTGCATTGATGTGTTCTTAAAATTCTTCATCTGGTATTCAAAGCATCACGTGCTGACATGCAAACTCTAAACGTCCATGAAAACAATTGCAGAATGCTCACAAACCACAGATCTTTGCATTTTACTGGCATTCTTTCACCCCATTTACGATGTGCACCAGAAAAAGGCCCAGGGCAGCACAGAACCAGTACTCAGAACTGCTTTATGGTTTCCAGGGAAAAGCAGAACAGAAAGGCCTTCACAACACCACAACTTTTCCTCCTCTGCCTCTCTTTTTCTTGCTCTCCCAATCATTTGTTCTACCAAGGCAAGGCATTCCTTCTGGATGATTTCAGCAGCCAAAGAGATGTGGATGGGGAAAGGGAGAGGGGCGGGGGGTGAGGAGCGGGTGAGGAAAAGAGCTAAGGCAGCAGTGGCAAGTATTTGGGGCCAGACATAACTTCATAACTACAAGTTGAGCAATGAAAAATATGACTTCATCCTCCTTCGACGTGACAGCTGTGGAAGGGGAAAGTTAAGTGTGAAAACCAGCCCTGCAGATCCACTTGTGAACTAGCGCTGCAGTTCACAGCTGGCAGTGTGTTCACACGAGTGTGCGCACATATTTACAACGGGTAGTTTGATTTCCTATCTCCATGTGTTCTGTGCCACACATTCACATAGGATTAACACGAACAAAAGCACTCAGTGTACAGTCCAACATTAATCCAATGGTAGTTTTCAATGTTTTGGCACACAAATTCTAACATTTTGGATAACTTAGTTTAGAGTATCTAAAACGTGAGTGTTTAATAGCATATTACAGCCGACTGTGCTGTGCAGCTCTGTCATGCTTTCACAGTTGCAGCAGTGCTGTTGCTGTGGCAGGGTATTGTTTATTGTGGCACGGCCTCTGAGCCTCTGAGAGGACAGACAGGGAGATGACACTTATGTAATGTAAAAAGGAAACACACTGACTATTTGTTTAACTATATCTTCGGTTAGGGGTACGATGAAGAAAGGCAAGGAGCTGGCGTGGTTTTATTATTTTTAAAGCAATACTGCAGCTATAAGATTGAATGTTTGTAGGCTGCAGAATGCACATAAAAATGAGCCCATACCCATCTTGACTATGTCATTATTTTCAGGCTCAGTCAGGAATGAGCTGAGTTTCAGACGTCTACTGCAGGACTCAGGTCATTTCTCATCACTAGCTAGAAACAACTTTTTGGTGAAGTCTTTGTTAGCATTAATACTGCTAGTAGCTGCTTGAGCTCAGTGGACCCTTAGGTTGTCAATCAGGATGAGATCATAATTTTAAAAAGTAATTTTGTTGTTTTTCCAGCAGTTTGCGTCATTGATGAATACTAGACATTGTCAACTAATGTGACATTTAATATATTCATTTTCTTACACAAAATTAATGTTATTTTCATTATCTTATATCAGTGTGAACAGACTAAAAAACATTGTAATTAATCCATTATGATGATGCATGACAGGCCCCAGTAGCTCACCTGGTTGAGCGTGCGCCCCCCTGGCTGAGTCTGAACAGTGACAGTGAAAGTCATTTTGGTTGCCTGGCAGAGAGATTGGAGGTGTGCAGTGTGTCGCCTGCAGCTCTTCATCTAACCGCTCACTGTGGCTGCGCCTTCTTATTCCATTACTCCCTGCAATAATTTAAACTGATCCACTGTCAAAAAATTTAGGAAATGTTGCCATTGTCTTGTTTTGTATAGATGCATTTTAGATGACCTGTGACTTCCTGTGACAATACTTCATAATGAGTCAACTTGTGTTTTGGCAGTTAAATGCTTTTAATGTCACCAGATATTTAAATGTACAGTGTATATATAAATATTTTTATCAATGACCATTCTGTAGGCCAGATAGAGAGCTTTGGAGGGCTAGAAGCTTGGGTACACCTGTTGTAGAGTCACGTTCTATGACACTGGTCAAGCTGGTCTTGTTTTCTGTTACATGATATTAAATTTGCTGTATGCGTTCAATTGTAGGAGTCATACCGGCAGGTGATGAAGATGCGTCCAAAGGATCTCTGGAAAAGACTGATGATCAAATTCAGAGGAGAGGAGGGACTGGACTATGGCGGGGTAGCAAGGTACTTTGTTATGTTTATTTTTCTGTGGCTTCATGCTATGCTTGTTTTGAACAATGTTTGAAGTACGTTTTCCTTAATGAATCTGTGTTTGTGGGTGTGTACATTAGGGAATGGTTGTACTTGCTGTCCCACGAGATGCTGAACCCTTACTACGGCCTGTTCCAATACTCCAGAGATGACATCTACACTCTACAGATTAACCCTGACTCTGCCGTCAACCCGGTAGGAAGGATTTCATTTTATAGTTTTATATAACTTATAGTAGACGTGTGATGATAATATATGTATCCAGCCAGTCATCAGATATAAACAGAAACATTAAGTTGTTTTCTAGTAGAATATCTACAAGGTTGCTGTTAGGATATCTTGGGATGATGAAGCCAAAATCAGACACTCATCAATCAGCACATTTTGGGAGATATTAAGAGTTATAATTAGATTTATATAACTTTATTTTGGTGAATGGATTATGCTCAGTATGTGGACATATATACACATAGTATTCACATATATTTACATGCTGTAAATGATCCTGAAGTTGTGACCTACCCTCTTTTCTGGGTGTACCTCTTAGGTATTATGGTAAAACTGTACTTCTCAATCTGTGTTTTATATAAAACTGATATGATAAGAATAAACCCTTTACATGAATACTGTTGTTTAATGCAGGAGCACCTGTCGTATTTCCACTTTGTTGGTCGTATAATGGGCATGGCGGTGTTCCACGGCCACTACATAGACGGAGGCTTCACTCTGCCCTTCTACAAACAGCTGCTGGGCAAACCGATCACGCTGGACGATATGGAGTCTGTTGACCCTGACCTCCACAACAGCCTTGTCTGGATCCTGTAAGGCTTTCTTTTGTTTGTTTCCAGGCAACCCATTATTTTCTAGATTCTCTCACTCGCAACCCAAAGTTAGAGGAAATGCATATATTACTGCTATTAACATTAAGAGTAAAAGCAATATTCTTGAGTGTCACTCCCCCCTTAATCCTGGTTTTCCTTTTTTACCAGTGGAAGAGTAAACAACTTGTACAGATTAAAAAGGCATTGAGCACACATACTTGACCATTCTCTCAACTTCTCCTACGACTGTGGTGCCCTCTGCTGTTAAGCTGATGACATCCATACTCAAAAATGAGCGCTCTTGCTGGTTTAGTCATTCTCCTGTTTGTTTTGACACAGTGATGAGTGTTTTCCACATGAGGATGTTGTGACAATCTTCTCGTGATAGGGTCTAAAACCTCTTACTTAATTATAATGTCATCCACTATTATGTCTGTTTAGTAGTAATCTCTGCTGAGTCATCTTTAAGGTTAAGGATGATAAATGCTGCTTTTTTTTAATGAAAATAAAAATGTTGTGTACAGATCATTGAACCAAATTGTATGTAATGATGGGAAATCAGTAAAGAAAGATCATTTCTGTGGAAGCTAAGAGCTGATTCCTGTTGTTACGAACCATCTCTCTCTCTAACCTCACCTTCCTCCTCCTTCAGGGACAATGACATCACTGGTGTCCTGGACCACACTTTCTGTGTAGAGCACAATGCCTACGGAGAAATCATTCAACATGAGCTCAAACCCAACGGCAAGAGTATCCCCGTCTCAGAGGACACCAAGAAGGAGTATGTCAGGTATGGAGACAGAGGTGCACACACAAAGACAAAAATGTGACAGCAACACGCAGTAAGCAAGCAAATTACATTTCCACCAAAACAAGTACCATATGTACGTTTTCTGTGGCAGACTGTTGACTTGTCATAATTCAGTTTCACAATGACTGTATTTGCAGTCCCTCAAGTGTTAAACTAACTCCTACTGTGTTTCTTCCCCTTCCTTCTTCAGGTTGTATGTGAACTGGCGTTTCCTGCATGGCATCGAGGCTCAGTTTCTGGCCCTGCAAAAAGGCTTCAATGAGGTTATTCCTCAACACCTGCTGAAATCCTTCGATGAGAAAGAACTGGAGGTACAAGACTTTCACAATAAAAGTGTGTCTGGTGATAGCTGTGACTGTAGCTGGATCAAACACATTTTTATCATTTTTACTAACTGTTAGGTGACTGAAAATATCTTCTATTCCATCTTCAAAAATATAATAATTATTTCAAGTACACTTGTATGGTATAATATTGAAGTTAATATTTAAGTTTCCATCTCCCTCTTTGGCCTTCAGTTGATAGTGTGTGGCCTGGGAAAGATTGACATCTCTGACTGGAAGTCCAACACCCGTCTGAAGCACTGCACCCCCGACAGCAACATCGTCAAGTGGTTTTGGAAAGCCGTGGAGTCGTTTGATGAGGAGAGGAGGGCCCGGCTACTGCAGTTTGTCACTGGCTCATCCAGAGTCCCACTGCAGGGTTTCAAGGCTTTACAGGGTACTTATCTGACTCTGTGTGTGTTAACCTGTTCCTCAGCCGGGTCCATATTATTATATATCTCAGTAAAAGCTGAAGTCCACTTCAGGCTTTAGCATCTGTTCCAGTTTCACTGCTTTGAATCATTATACTGTTTTTTTGTCCATATTCTAAAATAAATGGATAAACTACTGCTGGACACTGGAATTTGAAGCTGAACTGCACCTGATGGATCCTGTTTGTGTTTGGTCTTCAGGTGCTGCAGGACCCAGACTGTTCACCATCCATCAGATTGATGCTAACACCAACAATCTGCCCAAAGCCCACACTTGGTGTGTGTCACATGCAACTAAACACACACATGCACTTGCACAAACATAACATGCACACAATCACTGATTATTGATTAAGGAATATAATACCTTCCCGTCTCTGATAGCTCAATTCATGTGAACTCTTTCTTTTCTCTCCAGCTTCAATCGGATTGACATTCCGCCCTACGAGAGCTACGACAAGCTATATGACAAGCTGCTGACAGCGATTGAGGAGACCTGTGGCTTCGCAGTGGAATGAGAGACACATTGGAGAGTGTGTTTGTGTGTGAACATGTGTAACTGTGTGCAGGACTCTTGTTAGACCATCATTGTCACAGCAATGTGCTGACAGGTTCACTCAGAGCCTGATACGTGCGTCTTCGACCAGCCTGCAGTCTTCCTCTTCTCTCACCTCTCTCCACATTCTTCCCTTATCGATATCTGTTTGAACAGCTGCTAGAAAGACATCCCCTGTCATCTATTTTCTATTCATTTATTTGTTTGGGTGTTTTTGTTTGGGTGTTTTTGTTTGGGTGTTTTTGTTTGTGTGTGTGTGTGTGTGTGTGTGTGTGTGTGTGTGTGTGTGTGTGTGTGTGTGTGTGTGTGTGTGTGTGTGTGTGTGTGTGTGTGTGTGTGTGTGTGTGTGTGTGTGTGTGTGTGTGTGTGTGTGAAAAACACAGAGAAAATTAAGATAAGAGTTGCAGCATTTCTCTTTTTTTGCATAAAAAAAGAAAAAAAAGAAATTGCCCGGTCATCTCACTTAAAATCAAATCAAGAAGCAGTTCATCAACTTACAGTTCAACATCTTACAGAAGTGTTTCTGTAAAAAAAGAAGAAAGACATTTGACATTTGAGAACAGTGAGTCGCTGTTTTGTTTTGCAGTTTAAACTGATTGAATTGAACCTTGTCATGCTACTGAATCTTTAACACTGCAGGTAGCCATATCTTGTCCTTTAGTAGCCATCCTAACCTCAACCAACACACCTTCCAATCCTCATGGCTGCAGAGTTGGTTTGCTTCATCTTGTAGGAGCGCCACAAATTCATCCTACCTCAGTGTGTAATGCTTTGATATTTGAGGGGTTTCATTCCAAAATGCCATGTATTCTCTTTTGGAAAAGTAATTTCAATCAAATTTAGAATTGAAAATATTTAGTTTACAGCAATGCTTCACAGTTAGTGTAACTGTCATACCAGCAGTCGTTTTGTAGCTGTCAAACCAGATAACTTGTGAATATATCATTTTGAAATGAAACTCATACAGACTGACTTGGATGTGGGTCCGATGTTTTGTGGCGTTTTTGGAGTCAAGCTTTTGGTGGGTTGTTTAAAGATTAGCGACGGACTCTGGTTAAGAAGAAACTTATTTTATTCCCCTGAATCACTGCATTGTGGCCACAGCTCTTGTAAATGTGTGTGTCTGTATGTTTCTGCATGTGTATACAATTGTGCGCTTGTATGCAAGGAAGGCAGACATATTACAGATGAATCCCCCACCACCTCTACTAGCACAGTCTCCTGTATTTGAAGCTGCAGAGCTGATTGAACCTCACTTTTTGAGCCTGGTTCGTCTTCCTTTTCTCTCTTTTACACATTTGCCTCCGGCGGTTAACAAAGTATGCATGTTTTGTTTTTTTTATTTTATCGAATCCAGCATAACCCAGCACACTTCCTGTCAGATTATATGTGTAAAGGGCACATCTGTCCGAGGGACCAGGCTTGATTTAAAAAAAAAAAAAAAAAAAAAAAAAAGCTATTCAAAGGCAGGTGACTATTTTCAGTCACATCACCAGTTTAAAAAGGCAGAAGTATTTCTTTCTCTTGTCACTTAAGAGCACTTTACAAACTGAGCAATGATGGCAGGAGTGCTTTCTTCACATTAGATTAAAATATATCATGTTTCATTTGCTATACGACTACATTAGAAATATACTGAGTAAAAAGTATCTATACACCTGTAATTTTTGAGTATATATGTACAAATACATAGCTATTTTGTATATTGTTGCTTCTTTCTGTTCAATTTAAATGCAAGCATGTTGGTGTCTGTCACAGACCTCTTTGCATTCTCAGGTGAAGTTGTCCTTTTTGTTGTTTTTTTATGTTTTTATTATTTTACATTTATTAGGCTAGTATGTGAGGAGCAGTAAAATTGGTTTGAATGGAAACTATATTTCAGAGGCCCTGTCTTTAAAACCCACGATAGTGTAAAAGTTGGCAGTTTAAAGTGACCTTTTCTTTTGGTCAATCATTTTCACATGTTAACACACACATACCTTCATAGGAGAACATGAATGGTCATATTTGCTGCTCTGGAGGTCTTTGTCACCACTGAATACCAAACAGCACAGACGACAATATTATTTCATATGCACGGGGCAGGGTTGGTTGGTGGGTGGGGGGGTGTACTGAATGCTGATTGTGGCCTCAAATCCTCTCTGAGCTGCAAATGTTGGAGGTTGACTGCTGCTGAACTCCTGGGTGCTACACAGTGAAAATGTTCAACCAGAATGAAACGTTACTAAGAAACCAGAGAGGCGAAAGTGAGAAGCCTCCATCCAAAGAAAACCCTCTGCATGAATGGATGCTCAAGAGATAAAGCCTATTTATTTGCATAATTATTACTCTTAGAAGACTTTGGAAAATCAGCTAAATGTTCTTTTTTTATATGTGTATACTGCCTGCATTTATTTGTAACCATGAACAGTTTGTTAGCTGGTACTCCTGGAGTTTTTTTTTTTTTTTGTGGTCATCAGAGAAAACAAAACGGAGCACATTGACATTTTCATCTTTGTACAGTTACAGAGAATTTATTTGATTTTACTGTTTAATAACTAACTCAGAGGCAGAAATGAAATGCATTACAAGTTTTTTTTTGCACACATTATGCATACTTGGACTCCAAGTTATAATCAGACACTTCCTTCTATTTACCAAATAGTTAATGGACTGATTTTTTTTTTTTTTTTTTTAATGTAGATAACATATATATATACACACATGTTCTTGATATGCACACATGTATGTTTGTCCAGTGCACACAGTCCACTTCTGCTCTTTGTTACTTTTTTGTTGGCACCAAGTTTTCTGGCTGGTTCAGTCTTCAGTGCAAAAGCGGGGGTTAAGTGCTTCCTGGCGAGGGGAAATCTCACTTTTCCCCTCGGTTAAGCAGCCAAATTGGTCAGACATCCTTCACAATTTTGTAAGTCATTGTTAATTGTTTCAAGCTGTGATATATATATAATCGATTGATCTGACTAATCTAATTGAATACATTGAGAGCCAATTCTGGCCATAATCATGTAGTTAAATGATGGTTTAATTGGTTACAAGCCACAACAACCTGTAATGTTCAGCAAACTCTCTCCCCACACTTTTAAGTACAAATTTACAGGTTTACGTGCAAATTTGTGTGTGTGAGTGTGTGTGTGTGTGTGTGTGTGTGTAAATGATTTTTGATTGAATTCAGTATAAAACAGAAAAAAATCTTAGGTTTTTTTTTAAATAAAAAACACCATGTTTTATTTCTTTTGATTTCCTATCTGTTTTTATATTTATTATTACAGTATACGTGTTCATAGTTTTTCACATCAGCTGCTCTGTGAGCTTGTAACTGACACCTGTACATAAGGACAATAAAGAAGCAAAGTAATACACTTCTTGTACCCTTGCAGAAAGCTGAGCAATAAAACTATGCTGTTTGAACCTCACAGCATTATGTTTTATAGAACCATGTGTTTGTCTTTATTCCTGCTGATGAAACCCCTCGAAGGGAAAACGTAGATTTTTATTTGGTAGAAATTTTATAACCCTTTGTTCAAGTTGTCTGAATTTCTTTTTATTGAAATGGGAAATTACATTAAGTATGTAGCAGACGTGGAAATACCAGAAAAAAACATGGCAATACAACAGATTCTGCTTGCTTTTAACTAAAGTTTAAGTACATTAATATAATCAAAATTAACTATGATAAGAATTAGTTTTGTAAGCTTTATTTTATCTTCTTTTATTGGATAGTTATTTACAGAGTAGGTGCCATGCATTGCAGACTAGCATGTTCAATGTTGTAATTTTACCTATTTACCAGCACTGTAGAACACATTTTATGGAGTCATCATAGCTTTGTTAAATAGTAACAACAGCCACGCCCGCCGATAGGGGGGGGCGGGGACAAACGGGTCTGTTGTCCCGGGCCCAGGGTAGGGGGGGGGGGCAGAACTGGGCCCTCATTAAATTATGGAATAATAAAAAATAAAAAAATTAAAATAGGCCTATTTGTGGAAAAAAATATGTAATATTTGAGTTACATAAACGCTTTGTATTTGTTTTCTTCCTAATTCTCCTTGAAATAGTGGTCAAGAAGTCAGAGTCAGGCTACCGGTGAGAGAGAGAGAGAGAGAGAGAGAGAGAGAGAGAGAGAGTCACAGTGGAGCGGGAGGGGCCCGCTGCCCCATCGCAGAGTCTGAGCATGATGGTTCAGAGACTGATCACACACTTCATTTCAGCGATTCTGCATTATGGCCAACTACAATGACCGACTCTGATAGAGTGAACCTCGTACCTGTGATGGCAAAACGAACTCCTTTCTCAGAGAGAGCAAAGGAATTGCCAGCAGATGCAAAGGGCAGGGAATTCCCAAAATGGAATAGAGACTGGGTGGTATATAGCAGCTCAAAAAAGGCCTTATTTTACCTACCATGCTTGATGTTCTCCTTTGAAGTAGAGAAAAAGTCAACTAGTGCACTAAATTCCACAGATGGAGAGGAAGAGCAAGGGAAAGGGGGGGGGGGCATCTAACTTTATCTCGTCCTGGGCCCAGGCAAGACTGTCAGCTGGCCTGACAACAGCTGTCAGATAAATGTAATGAGGTAAAATGTTCAGTATCTCCCTCTGATATGTAATATATGATATGATAACTAATATACTCCAGTAAAGTAGTAAAACTGTAGGCTACTTACATACTGTATCTGCCCCACTGCATTCAGTGTGATATCATTTAGATATTGTATATATATATATTGTATTGTACATGTGTCTCTTACTGTTTCTTATTCTAACGAACAACAGAAGATAAACCGGAGAACCGGACCGTGTGAACCGTGACGATGACGACACAATCAGCCTCCGGTGTGCTCATTGACAGTATATATAGGTTCCGGCTGGGGCTCGTGACGGGACCGTCTGGCCAATCACAGGTCAGATCGGAGAGAGGGCTGGTCCACACGGTGCGCGTGCACGTCCCTGTAGATGGCGATATCCTGATTCAATGGCGGAAATTCCTGCAGGAAAAGTTGCAATTCCCGCATTGGCAACAACAGCTTACACCACAAAGCTGCCCAAGAAGAGGAAGACGGACTTAACGAGAAGAACGGCCAAGAGAGAGTCGGACTACAGACGCAATAAAACGCGCGTGAATATCGGTGAAGCCTTTCAGAGATGGAGAGAACTTCGCAAATGCCTCGGCCTCAGTTTGGACTCGGAGCTTGCCGTTCTTCTCCTGGACAGGTGAGATGCTGAGGTTGTCAAAGGGCCGTTTTCCATGTTGCCGTGTTACCTGGATGTGCTGTTGTGGTTGGTTGGGTCGATTCACCATGAAAACAGGCGTACGACGCGCGTGCATGTGCCCGTGGTCGTCTGGTGGGAGGGACGTCAAGACAGAGAGGGGGGGAGATTATTGTCAACGGGGGAGGGATGCAAGAGGAGGGATGGGAATTCAGGCGGGTGTTTTTTTTTTTTTTTTTGCAGAAACAACTGCCTTTAAGTGAAATGATATAAACGCGTTTACAGTGAAATGTACTCAAAGTATCAAAAGTAATCCCTAGGCAGCAGATCGCCCCCAGTTAACTCTGTTAGTAGGTTGTCGTTCATGTTGTAGCTGTACACTATCTACTGCATCATAATATATAAACTCATGTTGGGATTTTACTGAATAAATCTGAATCTGCAGTAGAGCTGATACTTACTATAAAACTATAAATTGTAGTGCTCTGTAATATAATTTTAGAGGATTGTTGGACTGGAAACCACTTTTGGGCAGATATTCCCATATGTTGCTTCAATCCACAAACTGTTGTTTACAGCTCAGTTACATCATGTTTACAGTGTATATAATCTGCTATACAGAGGCCTACATAACTCAGTATACATGGACTGCAGCACTTGCCTGTGTAGTAGGATACAACCGGTTTGGATTGGCAGTATGGTTTACATTGCACATTGGGAGCGCAACTTCAGTCTGTGCAAGTCACTGTGGAAGTGCTGGGCTCATTTAAACCAGCTAACTAAATCATGATGAGGATTTTTACATAAAAGGACACTTCACTCATTTAGTATTGCCCTTTATAAAGTTGGGAGCCTCACAACAGTCAAACACACAGGAGACAGACAGATATTTTAGTCACCCCCAAAAATGTTGAATCCTATATTTCCTACAATTAATTCTGTATTTTTTCATTAAAAATAAATATATAAACAGAGGATAATAAAACAATACACTCAGTTACACGTTTTATAGTATTATTAATAATGTGAGACTTAATTGTATTAACATGCTGCTTTTAAAAATGCTTTGTTTGATAATTAAGCCCTATGTATATGAATATATTAAATAAGTATGTATTTAGTTTTATATTTAATGTCTACTAAAACTTAAGAACTCAAATAGTACATCTTTATTAAATGAAACTAATCAGACATTAATCAATATCTCGTACAGGTGTTACATCACATTCTGTGACCGTCACATTCTGTGATCTGACCGGAAGTCCGGTGCGTCGGACGTGATGTCATCACGCAGTGTAAAAAAAAATAAATAAAAAAAAATAAACCCCAAACAAATATGGAGGCTCCCGCTCCCCAGAAATCATCCGTAAAGAAGAAGAGTTAGATCAGAGGAGCTAAAGGAGAGAAAGAGACTCAAGAAAAAACATCTGTGAAGAGATTACAAGTTAATAAACTTAAAGACTGCTTTTATTGAACCGGACAGGTAGGTCGGTAACTATAATGTGAAATACAACTGATGTTAATGTAGAGTAGAAACGTGTTATCAGTGTGTGTCCATATATATATATATATATATATATAAAGCTGTTATGTGTCCATATATAATATCAATATATAAAGCTGTTATGTGTCCATATATAATGCTGTTATGTGTCCATATATAATATCCATATATAAAGCTGTTATGTGTCCATATATAATGCTGTTATGTGTCCATATATAATATCCATATATAAAGCTGTTATGTGTCCATATATAATATCCATATATAAAGCTGTTATGTGTCCATGTTTTATGACTGTAGTTATCTTCGGACAAAATCAGAGAATCGACCTGAACGACCAACCGTTAAAAGAAGTTCCTCTACTGAGACCTGGTGAGAGGGCCTGTGTGCCAATTTAAACTATGAAGTAATGAATGAGTAATGTAATAAGAGCTGCACAATTAGTTCTATAATATTATCGGAATTGCAGTTTGGTGAATTGAAAACTGGGATGCAAAAATGATCATCCCCACTAACTGTGAATTATATCTCAATCACCATATATGTCAAAGTAATCCCAATATTATTATCATTATTATTATTATTTACCATATTGTGCAGCCCTGATGTTAATACCACAACAAGCAAAGCTAAAACTTTTACCATTGTGCTTCTTTGTTGTGTTTCTTTAGTGAGAGTGTGCACATTTACCCACTCGTGATGAATCCACCAGTCGAATATGAGCCGGAAGCTTATCCTGTTGCTTCTGTCCACTCACCTGAGAATGGAAAGGTAAACATGTAGAGCTGAAACCATTAGTTACCTAATCGACCACCAGAGAAAATAAATCTGTGAATATTTTCACAATCAGTTTATTTAATTTATTTAAATTTAAACTAAGAGTCTCATCATTCTCTGATTCCAGCTTCTCTCATGTGTGAACCGGCTGATTTCCATTGTAGATTGGAGAGTTTTGGGTTTTGGACTGTTGGTCGGGCAAAACAAGCCGTTTGAATACTAAAAGATTTATCAGTTTATAAAAAACCTCCACCAGATTAATTGATAATGCCATCAGTTTAAATACCTTAATTATAAAATCTTAACATTTGGTAAAAGTGTTCAGGTACAATCTCCAGCACTTTAGAGCACATATACGTAGAACACATGAACATTATACATACATAATGTGTCACTTTATGCTTTCTGTAGTTCTGTATCACTTTGGGGTTGATGGCATTTCTAGCTGAAACACATTGTTTACTGCAAGCATTAACCCTTATTGACACTCTCTGTATTTGTTGTTTATGTTTAATATCTGACTTTGTTCTTTTTGTAACAAATTTAAATGTATTAAGACATTTGTGAATTTGTATGAAATGTGCAAAATAAATTATGTTGCCTGTTTTTTAAGTACGCTTTGTGCTGATGGGTTGCTGTTCCATGTCTCATTTTAAAAGGAGTCAGGGGAAAAAGATGCTGCTTGTCAAAGACTGAACAGTCAAGATGAGGAGACAAGATGGACGACAGGCAACCCGTCAGAAAATAAAGAAAATAGAGGTTAGTCATCTTAACAGGGTTCCCACATCTGCTTAAACATCAAGTATAAGGACGTTTTTAGAACTTTACAAGCCCAATAACTTCAAATTCAAGTTCTCAAAACAGCCTAGTTTGAGACACGGATCAAGGTTAAAAGGAGGATAAGACCATACAGCTTCTAAATTCAAGTTTCTCTCTTATATACTGAACTCAGACCTCGTTAAGCACAGTCTTTACATTGTTCCAACAATCACCAACTCTGATGTGTGAAATGTTTGTGGCTCTACGCGCTGTGGCTGCCTCTTTGATCCCCTACCTCCCTCACGCACACTTCATGCCTCTCCTCTCTTGGTCCGTCCCTGCTGAGTCTTGTTTGGAGCCTCTGAGGATCACCTTGTAACTGTATTCCCTGTCGTCAAACTAGCAAAAATAAACCCTTAATTCGCCGCAATTAGATGTGAAAGTACACTGGCTCTACAGCTGTTTTTCCCTCATTCAGCAGTTCAGTGTTGTACTGCGCTGAACGTCTGTCACAGAGCGGCTCTTATTCTCTGGATGCAGACCAATAAATTAGCTAAATAAAATAACAAATAAGCCCAAAAAAACCAACCCTCCATCAGATATATTCGTCCAATCGCCCAACTCTAGTGTAAACACACAAAATTACAGGATTTCAAGGACTTGTGGGAAACATGTCTTTTGATATTTGAAGCCAATTGTTTCCAGGAAAAGTGGAGTAATAAAGGATCCATCCACAGATATTCAAGAAGACAAGGATGAAGAATTCAGCACCTCATTAAGCGTGGGAGACGGGCACTACCTGGTGGATTTGGGAAGGTATGCAGACATTAATATCAATAACCAAAATCCAGTTTGAGTGTCTCATCCCTAGCTTTACATTTACATGTATTATTTCCATACTGTTTGTTTATATTGAAAAAAAGTTGAAACAAGAACTTCTATTCATGAATCTTTTCTGACTCCCTCAGCTCGTCAGAGTTCATTGTCGATGAAGAGTGCATCCTTCAGCTGTTCAGGTCATGCCGGGAATGCAACAGACAATGTACGGTTAGAAAACGTGTGAAAGGACTAAAGCTTGTGGTTTCCCAGGCGTGCTGTTTCTGTGAAAGCCGCTATAAATGGACTAACCTGCCAGATGACGACGATGATTTCCAGATAAATGGAAAAGATGCGGCACACGGACAGATCAACTCGGCACTGTCGCCAAGCAGTAATACTAGCTGAGACAGAACCATGTCTGAAATGATGCTCCAAGTGGACAATGGTTGTACTGAGACAAACCTGTGACAGGGGTCTGGGCAGCTGTGGTTACTCTGCTGCCTCTGTGGAGTTTGGTTGTGTTTCTCTGGAATATCACACAGCTGTCACCAACTTCTGTTTGTGTTTATTTCCTGGTATCAGGAAGTAAACATGAGCCATCTGATGCTAGCGAGAGGCTTGCAGCATTTGTCTGTTAACATCATGCATACCGCAGTGAGAGAATACTTGGTTTTGAGAGACAGGTAAGAGTTTTAGTGGACAGACAAATTGCTGTTGGTGCAAAACAACACCAGATACGGCCGAACACTGTAACGGCAAAGATGGTTCCCTGAGAAAAGCCGGACTTTTCTTTGGCTTTCCAGGGAAAACTTTTCAGATTTCTTACTTCAAGAAGTTATTGATATATTGATCCTTTCCCATCCTTGTGCCAATATGCACAAAACACATTTCTTCAAATGAGGATTGTTGACATGTGTTCAAGCAATGTTGAACAATGCTGAAATTACTCACGTTTCATTGTATAACTAAACTCAAGACTCCATTTAAACCTTCCTTTAACATGCAGTCTGTATCTGGGTATCCCCAAATGTTGTCTCTCCCTGCTGGCTCAAGCAAGCCCAGTAAACAGTAGCAGTAGCTAGCAGGTGAGGCCAGTGTTAAAAAGAACACTAATTGTTGTCATCCAGATACAGATCATGTGTATAACCTGGTGTAAACGAGGCCCACATACTCAACTCATGAGCCAAGATAATAAAAAAAAAAAAAGAACAATTTTGGTTTTCCTGTCCACGTCATTCATTATTTAATCAGAACACCTTTTTCAATCATTTGAGGCCCAGCTACAGCTCAACAGAAATAGCATTCAATTAGTGCAGGTATAATTTGACAATTTTCCCTTTTCAATAAAGAATTGATTTGATATAAACACCTCCATGAATTAAAATTTTCCAACTTCATTCTCCACCTGGATCTGCCTCATTACAGGATTGTGTTCAGTGAAGTCAAAATACCAAAACAGTAATCTGCAGCTCATGCCAATAAGTTAAACCTTTAACCGTGAAAAGGAGAGCGAGCCTGCACGTTTTAGAGATGACCTGGCATTCGCTTATTAGATACAATATCAGTAGACAGTGTTTTAACATTGCAACCCTTTGTGTACTGGTTTAAAACGACCATGTCTTAAGTTCTGGGTGAGAGTTAAAAACAATCACAATGGAGCTGAAGAAAAGGAAAAGTCATGAAAGACTGATTATCATCGCCCCTGGTAAACACACGCTAATTAACACCAGGTTAATTAAAAATCAAATGTCATTAAAGTTAAAAAAATAAATAATCCACTGGCATGGTTAAAACATTGAAGAAAGACATCACACATTTAAGGGGGGAAAGGAAGTTAAAAATCAGTCAGTGTGTGACAATTATACTTATTGACTTTGCATCTGTGGTCCCTATTTGGCAAGAGGAAGAACATTTTTACTAGTTGTCTGCTACAATATCAGCACACTAAGACTGCACAGTGAGGGAGCCACTCTAAAACATTCTTAGGTATCAAGTACTAAAACCCATGGAAGAAGGGGACTTGGTCCAAGGTGTCATTAAGGTCGGGTATAGCAGCTGAGGTGAGAGGAAGAGTTAGCTAAATAAGCTAGTAGCTACATTTTGTCAGAGTGTGGTCAGTTCATTAATAATCAATAATCAGGACTAGTAGAAGTTCTCTTCCTGTGCAAATCTCAGAAGGAAGATGCAGAGGAGACAGTACTGTTCGTCCACCAGAATGTCGTACCCTTAGTTGTGAATAGCAGAGACAAAGTTCTTACAGCGTGTTCCTCTGATGTAAATCCAGTCCTAACTGATGGAGCTTAAAACAGCCCTTTGTCTCGCTTCCCTGCTCAGTGCAGATAGCTAGTGTTGTACTGGAAGGAGGCCATCTGGACCCGATTGCGCAGCCTCTGGACCTCCAGATCCTGGAAATGGTCGTCCTCGTCGTTCTGGATGATGATCTTCTGCAGTTCACCAATCTCACGCTCCATCCTGGATCGCAGCTCTCGCTTCATCTTCAGAAGAGCCTGAAAACAATGGGAGTGGATGATGTTCTTCACTTCAATTGTTTTTTAAAATTAAAAAGTGAATAATCTGGACTGAAGTCTGCTTCAGGTATGGCTGACGGACCTTTTTTTCACCATGATGCTTTCATTTATTACTGCCAGTTGCAACTAAAGGTTTTCTAAAACTGATTAACTTATCAGAATATTTCAGAGTGGAAAGTCATCATATCATATATACTCTGCAATGTAATGATGTACACCATGCACCGTTGGGTTTCTTCATTCTTTGCAATACTTGAATGTGAGAGCAAAAACCGCTTTTCAAAGAAATGACTGAAAGACTTTGTGGAATACAACCCAGAAAGACTTTGACCATAATACATTTGCCTGTTCCTCTCCGTTGCGGTTGCAGTGTTTTGGAATAACAATTTGAATACAAGTTACCCTCTCACGCAGTCTGCAACCAATTACTTACCTTTAGAAACTGTATAAAAGCTATAAGCAATTTCCACCCTTAGAAAACACTGAATAGATTCTATTATATAGTAAAGTCTATATTTTCCCTTATGGTGTCACAACTGCACCGTGTGTCAATTTTAAATAAAAGTGGCAGCCCATCACTCACAGCAGTAGTAATTAAAGCTTTTACCTTTTCTTGAGCTTTTTTCCGAACTTGGATATCCTGTCGCTCTTGTGCAAGTTTTTCAGCTAGTAGTGAAAACTGAAAGAGAGAAAGCATGTTATAGCTCACATGGCGTCTATGAGTAAATTGTGTAGTTCATTTTAAAAAACACTGCACCTTCTTGGTCCTAACATAGGTCACTGCGTGTGTGTGTGTGTGTGTGTGTGAGTGAGAGAGAGAGAAAGTCCTACTTGGTCTTTGTAGTAGTTCTCCATGGACTTGATCTGGTCCTGGTGTCGTCTCTGATGTTCCAGCCGCTGCTCCCTGGCGCAGGCTCTCTGCTCTCTCAACCGCACTTTCTGTAGCTCCAAACCCTCCTCAAACAGCTGCCGAAACATCTGTACACACACCCACGCACACAAATACATACATGAGTCATCATGTCAACAAAAAGAGTAACTCCAGATAATCACACTGTCTGTAATTCAAACTTCACTAATATTACTTCATATCTGCAGGGATGTGATTTTTCTTGATGAATCAGAAATTCCAGATTGTCTGACCAGAAAATGTGACACATGTAATCATACAGATGCATAAAAAAATACTTTCTATACATTTTCCTGCTTTTTTGTTCTTTGCCAATCACATGCCTGTATCTGCTTGTATTCTTCTGCTGCTCTTGATTGCTCTCAAACAGCTTCTGTTACGGTTTGTCCACAAAGGATACTTAAACTCCCACGCCTGTGTTGTCCAAACAGGGCGTTTCTGCTACAGAGCTGCTGCAGCCCTATCTTTCTATATTGACCTTGCCTTTGATAAATAGAATACAATAAAAGCCTTGTTAACATAAGAGTTGATTCTGTCCACACAAACGCTAGAGAGCTTTTAATCTCAAACAGATATGGGAGGCGGGCAGTGTGGCTGCTCTAACTTGTTAACATGGGCGCTGTAATAAAAGCAAGACAATCTGCCGCAGTGTGCACCAGGCTTTAGAAGCAAAGACTTTTTATGGCGGGGACCCAATTTGCCTAATCGAGTTTGATTTTCAGATGAGATGGAGGAGAAGAACATATCAACAACATCAAGTCCACTGAGTTTGTGGGAGCCATCAAAAATCACCAAACATTTGTTGGTTCTAGCTTCTAAAATGTGATCAACGGCCTTAATTCTTTGTTTCACTGAAAATGGAACATGTTTGGGTTGCAAACTGAACTTTTGGTCAGACAAAACAAATCGTTAATCATAGCCTCAAGGCCTTTGCACACCAATTCCATATATTTAATCTGATTAAAAACTTTACACACAGAAACTTACTGATGCATACTGAGTCTGATGCACTTTATTATTCTATTCTGTGTGAAATTCAAAATACGAGACGGAATCATCACTCAGTGACGATGATTTTATGATCCTTTCACTTGAAAGTAGAAAAAGAAAAAGGAAATAATTGGGTCCATGGTGTCAAGAACAAGGAGCTGTCTGCTGCTGCTTTTACTGTCTCAACTCCTTCCTGTCATTTACTCCTGCCTTGCAATTGACACTGTGGCTGTGATGTAGCTTTTAGAGTAGGTGCGTAAACATGGCTAACACAACAGGAGGTCGTATTGAATTTGTGCGACAATGTTGGATGCAAATTACAGACTTGGTGTGCAAAGGCCTTCAGTCCTAGAACTGGAGTACTAAGTCATCACTACCCACCCTCTCCTCTTTGGTGCGTGCCCTCATCAGGCGGGCACGGTGCTGGACGTGGTAGTCGTTGTGGTACTTCTTGGCACGCGCTACCTGCTGCCTCTGTTCTCTCAGTCGGTTCTGGGTCGACTTCTGCTGCTGGATGCGCTCTTTGAAGTCCCTCTGAAAGATAAACATATAAGCTTATCTTGCAACTGGCCAGCGTGGTATGACTGAACAGGCAGGTAAAGTCTGTCTGCATGTGGGTGCACTCTATACATCCATTGTAATTGTTGATAATTGTGCTAGATGTGAAGGGATCTTTTGAGTGTGTGTTTATGTGTTGGTGCTCACCAGACGTCTGTTGTGGTCTTGTTCTTTGTGGATTATCTCCACCAGCAGGTCATGTTTCCTCTGGGCTTCCTCCACCTGACAGACAAGCAGGTGTGTTACATATTAATTCATAAATATATCCACCGAATCACATGTTCCAGATTTTAAAAAGGGAACAGACATCAAAGTCTGGCACCCAGTAAATTTCACTGCACTTCCATTTGGTTGTGACTTGCAATGGCCACAGTCCTACCTGGCTAGGGAGTTTGCTGCGACGCTGGCTCTGGGAGGATGACAGGGCATACAGCCTGTCCACCTGCTGCATCTGCTGCTCCCACATCCGACCCAGAGCGTGGGGGGAGATGTGAAGGTGGGGCAACTCCTCCAGGAGCACAGGGAGGAGCTCATTCTCCTTCACCTTCACTGGAGAGTGACAGAGGGGACACAATAAATGTAATGTTGTGTGTGACAAAAACAGGAATTCTCTAATATGTGAACTGTTATGCAGTCCTGTATTTAGCATACATGCCACCTCCTTAGGGACGACTGTTATATGAAGACATATTGGTTTCAGTAGGAGCTTAATACAAATCAATGCTATGGTTGAAAATAAAAGAAAGTTACACTAAAATTGTTCTGTGAAAAGTGAAAAATAAAAGCTTTCTCAGTGGTCACTGTACTCCTGCTTAGTAGTTCTGTTAGTCTCAAAAGCACATAACTTGACAAAGTATTGACCATTCAGTGCCAGTATCACTATAAGATGTATTGATGCTTCAATTTAATCACAGTGGTCACCACAGTGAGCCCAAGTTATGTCACACACACACACACACACACACACACACACATCAGTGGTGAAAACTCTTCCCTAATTAAATTGGAGGAAAATATACACAGACATTTGTGTCCATTACACTGGTCCATTTGACACTTTACCAAATCGTAAAAGTTCACATTAACTTTATTGCCAAGACAGTTTATTGGTCCCTAAGAGAAAACGTTTGTATCCATATTTACAGCTGCAATCGATATTCATTTACATAAGCTACATGATGACCATCACACTTCCCACCTCTGCAACAGACCGGTTCATTTATTTGAGCTATCCCGACCTGCCTACTGTGTTCATGCGCGCACACCGGTTTGTTGGTGGTGATGTGGCTTGTGTGCTTCCTCTAGAGTATCAAACGCCAGAATATGGTTCGTATATGCAAGTTTCCACATTGCAATAATAAAATGACAAGACACACGCCGTGCAGTTTCCATCGACTGCCATTCTACGATGCTGCTCTTCAGATAGACCCCAACACAAGCATCAGGGAACTACGGGGGGCAGACTTTCGTGTGTGCAGCGAACATTGGGGATGACTACTTTCACCAGATCGGATCAAAAACACCCAAACACTTCTTCCTGAAACCTACAGCTGTTCCTAGAGTCGCGAAACCAGATGTGCAAGACGAGGAAAGGCTTCAGGCTCCTATTACAGTGGTCAGTAGCTACAGTACCGTGTAGTTAGTGGTGAACTGTTACCTAAACTCAAAGCTAAGTCCTGCTACTGTTATGAATCCTTAAAGGACAATTCCGGTGCAAACTGAACCTGGGGTTAATGACACATGTGTACCGAGTGGGTCCGGTCTCTGGGATATGTTTTCATGCTAATAGAAAGTGACCAGTTTTAGCACAAACCGCTAATTAGCTTATAACGATAGTCAAAGGGGGCACAGAGTAAAGTGAAAATAAATCTGTTTTTATTCCACTAACGAGGCTCAACATAGCGCCACACTTACACGGTAGCATAATGAGGGTCCCTACCTGTAAACCGAAGCATTGAGGACTTTATAAGTGTACAGACAGTTTATTAAAAAGATAGTTTACAACAACAGTAGCCTTCATGTACACAGCCGGGTTGCCATCTTGGGAAAACAGTCTCTGAGACGTGAATCTCGCGTGAAGCGTTGTTGCCGGAAGAGGCGTTGTACACGTGAGATGTGGATGAACCAGAAGGTGAGCGAGGAGAGGAGAGAAGAGGAGAAGAGAGGAGAGGAGAGGAGAGGAGAGGAGAGAAGAGGAGAGGATGGTTCGTGTTTGTGCTTTTCCCGGCTGCAATAAGAAAATGAAACACTACAATCCGGAAAGTTTCCACAGACTTCCTCTGCGGCACAACGATACGTTGAAGCAGTGGCTGGTCGTATTAAACGTCGATGTCAAAACACCGGTAAAAACACTGCGGGAGAGGGACTACCGCGTCTGCAGTAACCATTTCGACAAGGACGACTTCACCGTACCCAGAAATGCCGCCAACCCTCCCAGAAAAAATCACCTCAAGAAAAGTGCTGTACCGAGAGTGGAGAGACCCGCTGTGGATAATCTGGATGAGGTAATGTGTGGGTTTGTTTGGTCATAGATCTACTAGACCGTAGAGACTAGGAGGGGGAGGTGCAACACTAAACTTTATGTGCTTGCTGTTGCTAAAGATTCACTTCACGTCTCAGAGACTGTTTTCCCAAGATGGCGCCCGGCTGTGTACATGAAGACTACTGTTGTTGTAAACTATCTTTTTAATAAACTGTCTGTACACTTATAAAGTCCTCAGTGCTTCGGTTTACAGGTAGGGACCCTCATTATGCTACCACATACTACTCTGTAGAGCCTTGTTAGTGGAATAAAAACAGATTTATTTTCACTTTACTCTGTGCCCCCACTGACTACATTATATTATAGGTAATTACAGAGCCTGGTCACTCTCTATTAAGTCCCATTGTACTGAAGTTAGGTTGCAGTTCCACCAGAGCTCCACTGGGGGCGATCGCCCATCAGTGCAGAATGAATGGGAGTCTATTGAGCTAGATGGCTAAATTTGTCTCTTTCACCTGATTGTCGTTGAGAAATCTCAGATTTGATTGTAGTTTTTGCAAGTTCAACATGGGTTATAGGTCGAAAGTTGAATGAACGAGTTCTTATGTCCTTTCGATTTCTTACAGGTTGAATTGTTGTTGCCCATAACGCGCTAGCATTCTGCTCATGAACCCTGATTGGTCAGTGAAGGACTGTTTCCTGAGTTACGAACCGAAATGAAGAAGTCGTACACACAGCACGGTATACTGTTACCTATAGGCATGTTGCTACAGTCTTATTATGTGTTAAATACCGCCTCATTAGTTATTTTGTAGCATGTGCAGCTGAAATTGGCTAGAGACGCTCCATGTTGCCATGACAACAGTGCCGAGTCTTAAGCAGAAAGCAGAGCAGTAGCGTAACGTTAATCAAAATTCAGATATCAAACTGTGAAATATGATTGTGTAATATGTAATGAACATGTGAAATCCACGGTGGGTGCACTGTAAACCAGATAATCACTATAAACGTTACGAAACGTCCAAACTGCCTATTGCAACCAAGCTCGTCGCGTTGTGTGCCAAACAGAACGCAAAAACCCCGCGGTTACTCGTTTTCAAACACGGATGTGACGTCGCGATTACAAGACAAAATGAACGCACCATGATTACGACCAGAGATCCGAAGCGGGAATATGAATATTTCGGCGTGGTGTTTTAAAACAGCAAGACAAAAACTCTTTCGAGCACGTGTATTGACAGGGAGAGCCTAACCTGTGTCAGCCGTGTTGTCGATCCATCTCTCGCAGCGTTTCTACCGACAACTTGAGTCACTGTGTGCTAAAACTGATCACGTTTGATTAGCATGAAAACATATCTCTTTGCATTTTGCAGTAGCTGACTACAATGTGGACAAGCAGTCAGAGATGTTGGGAGGCTGCTGAGCCTCTCAGATATATACAATATTCTGTGCAAAGAGTTGGAATCTAGGGACACTGAAGATAGTCAGGATCTTAGCAAGAGATGAAATTAAACAAGGATTTTTGCAAGAAGCAGAAAACTTTGAAGATTATATTAACGTCTTTCAAGACTCAATATTGGTAGAGGCTTTGTCAGATATTTCTCTACTTTCAGTAAAATGATTTAATGATTAAGTGAATGTGTAGTGCAAATAACGTGGAGGCATCGGGGATTAATTGTTTCCTTACTGGTGCACAACTGCACAGGCTGAACAACAACAGGTGTTATGTGTGTACAATAAACACAGATCACAGTCGGACTGATGGTCAGACCTTCCATCATCATCCCCAATTTGCTGAAGACAAGTCCGACAAATAGATAGTATTTAGACAGTTATATGCACAAAAATGCTGTATAATAAAACCTGTTAGTCCATGAGAATATGTGCTTTCAACCTGTGCAGAACCAGAACAACACAAAGGATAACACACTGGATATATAAATAGTTTCCCTGAGGAACATTTTTCAGACCCATTCTGTTTGTAGTTGTGAAAAAGTCATTGTTTATAATCAGGTGTTTGTGTTGTCTGACATTTCACAGCTGCAAGACACCTGGGCAGTAGTGAACACACCACCAGGCCAGGTCAGATTTACAGGTGAGTCAATGAATGATCCTTACCATCTATTGTGTGTCAATAGGTCTTAAGACATGCTGAAGAGAAAGCTGTATTTATATGCCACGTGGCCGCAATAAACAAGAATGAGTCAAAAAGAAAGAAATGGTTGCTTCAGAGGCCCCCAATGGTTTGAATAAAGAGTTTTCATTCACATTGACGTCTTTTATAGAGATCTATAGTGGGCAATCCAGTGTCTTTGACTTACATCCCTCGCCCGTCTCACGAAACAGATACTGTATTCCGAATTACACAAATCTTCTTCAGAATATATGTGAAGTTATCAGTATCATCAAGGACTCCAGCTTAGCTACTTTACTACAATATAAATAATGCTGTTTTGTTTCTGTATACTGTCTATAGAGCCTGCTTGAGACCCATTTTGTCCAGTATGTTTGACATCTGGTGAAGACGTGGAAGTTGTCCAACTGTGTCCACTATATTATAAATTATGTTTTTGGTTTTAACTTTGTTTAAAATTTACTCTTGAATTACTTTATCCTCATTTTGAAGTATTTCAACTTAAAAAAAGATCCTTTTAATTGACCGTGATATCATTTCACAGGTACTCAAGTGCCTGAGACACGCACTGCAACCATGGAGAAGTAAGTCAACAAATAACTTATCATGTTCCCCTGATGTGTCAATAAGACAATGTAGCTTAAATAAGTCAGTTCTGTACTACAGTGTATTAATTTAGAGCTTTGTTGTTGTGCCCCATTGGTTCAGTCATGCAGGTTAAACCCTGTACCACTGTTGCACGTGTGACATGTGATGCATTCATAGTGACAACTTGTGCATGTTTCTGCTTCTAGCCATACTCCATACAATCATCATCATTTCTTAGCTCTCATTTCTGCCCCATAACAGACCAACTCTGCAGCATATTGTTGATGAGGAGGCCATCCTGCAGCTGATGAAGAACTGCCCAATGTGCAACAGAAAGTGCCGCTGTATCAAACGCACTCAAGGTCCTTACTTCATAGTCTACCAGAGCTGTTACTTCTGCCATTATCAACGCAAGTGGGCCAACCAGCCTGAAGCTAGAAATATGAACATTCATAAGGCGCACACACAGCCTAAGAGGAAGCTTCAGCCAAAGGACAAAGTGTGTGGAAACGCCAAGCCTCAGTCATCACAGCTTAAGGAGACAAGCATTTCAACTCTGTCTTAGATATGACTGCATTCGTCACCAAATCAGATCCATGTCAGTCAGTGTCAGATGTGCCTTAAGGTAGATATTACTCTGCAGATGCTTGATGATGACAAACAATTCTGTAAAGTTTCCGCTTTAGTGTCAGCCCACAGAAGATACAATTAGAGTAAGGCAATAAAAGAGGAGACAACTATAGTTTTGCTCTGGTACGGTGCCATTATGTCTTTTTTTTGCTCACAGGTCATTTAATATTGAGTACCTGGTGACAGAGTCCCGATCCAATACTTTTTCCCCCCTAGATAATACTGCTGCACACTGCACATTTCAAGTAGGCAGTATTATAGGGGTGGGAAAAATAATCTATTCTTCGATGCATCGCGATTCTCTCTAGAACGATTCCGTCTTGATGCAGATAAGATAATAATCGGAATTTAAAAAATTAAATTAGTTTGCGTGCTGCAACATTCTGTTCACCTGCTGCAGAGCACTACAGAAAACTCTCCTTTCTGCCTGCCGGTTCTCCGCCAACACGCATGCGCACCAAACACACGTGTAAGTTGTTTACATCCAAAGTTTAGTGGCGACAAAATGGCTGCGAGTGACAAACCTATACGGCCTGCAGCAGCTTCTTTAAAAGCTGCGATATGGCAGCATTTTGGGTTCTATGAGGTCGATGGGAAGATGGACAAGACCTACACTGTGTGTAAGGTGTGTAGAAGTCAAATTAGATACTCTGGAAATATAACCAATCTGCGAAACCACATTTCTCGACACCACTCAAGAGTTGGGGGGAAAAAGCAACCCATTCCTGATGGCAGCCAGAGGACAATTGAGCAGGCAGTGGCACAGCTGCCACCGAACTCTGATTACTAAATCCATTGCGAAATTTATTGCAGTGGATTTAAGACCATACTCTGTTGTAGAGAACTTGGGTTTTCGGGAGATGGTGCATACTCTGGAGCCGAGGTACAAGATACCTTGTCGCCAATACTTCACCGACACTGCAATCCCTACACACTACGCTGAAACCAAATCAAAAGTTTTGGATACTTTGACGACGATGGAAGGATATGTTTATATATATTTTAAAATCACGCATGAAAACGTACATTAAAAAAATTTATTTTTTCCGATTTAGAATCGAATCGTTGACCTCTGAATCGTAATCGTATCGTGAGGTGCCAAAAGATTCCCACCCCTACTGTATTAAAGTTATTAAAAATCAACCCAGTGTATGCCTGTGATAGTGTACTGCCTGCAGTATAACACCATGATGACCACCATAGATGACAGCAAAATGCAAGAGACTCACACACTAAGCTTAAATGAAATGTGTGCATATAAATTAGGTAACTAATATAAATTTAAATTCAAGTATCTTTCATCCATGCTACACAGAGCAGAGTGGAGGAGAGACAGACAACAAAGGGTTGGTAAATTAGTGATAGTTGCACTTGTTGCATTGCGTGTGACAGCTTGAGTAAATCAAAAGATTGGATCAGACTCATGTAGCTTAATATAGCCAATACCAATCAGTTGATTGGGGCATCCCGATTAGGCACAATCCTGTAGCTCTACATACAGGCTTACATGTCAGTGTGTCTAAGCATGAAAGAAAGATCCATGTGGTAAATATACGAGTTTTAACCTACTTGATGGAGCTTTCCTGGGAGGCTCCTGCCCTCTCCGTCTGGGTGTATTTTGTGTGTTGCGTTGGGACCTATGCTGGACCTTCGTTCTAGCAGGAGATGGTCTGGGCGATTGGGCAACATCCCCCAGTATGGCCTCTCTGTACTGTCGCTCCTATAGACAAAGACACACACAGCAAACTGTTAGTAAAGTGGGACAAATTGTTTAACAGTCAGAAGCACTCAGTATTTCACTTTAATATATTCCATTTAGCCATTTTCCCTCCAAGCTGAATGCTTATTGTTCATGTTAATATCCTCATATTGTTGTTTAATAGTTGTAAACCAGCAGTTGATATTTAACCTTTGTCATTTTATACCAAATGTATGGCAACTTTTGGGTTATGTTGGTGTTTACAGATTAGAGACAAAGTTCTGTTCGACTTTCTCGCAGAACATACCCACAAATGAGGGGCAATTTATATTTTTAATTCATATTTGTGATATATGTCCTAAAGTATTTACAGTGTTCTGACAAAACTCTGCATTCTTCTGTTAATACATTAAAACTGTGAACAAATGTGCATTTACATTTAGTGCTGTTGTACAGGTGGATATGATAACAGTTCTCACTTCTATTATTTCAAGGTTGTGACTAATTTGTTTTCTCATATTCACAATTATTTATCTCATTGTGAAGTAAACTAATCACTGTCAGATCACTGTTGCCTGCATTATACGTTGTTTTACAGTTAAAAGTAGGAGTACAAAAGTGAAACAGATGTAACACAGTCACAGCAATTTGTGAAGTCCCTGACTAATATTCTGTTCAATACCGAGTGTCATGAACACGGTACTGATGTAGAGAAAGGAGGCTGGGAGAGGAGTCCTCACTGTATGCAGAGTATACTAGACATCATACTAATGACTTACAGCTTCCTGAGCTTTGAGGCGTGCCTTGTCTAGATCTGCCCGTTCTTTGTCTTCATATCTTTTCAACTCCTCCTCATAGGCCTTACTCTCCTGATACTGAAAGAGACAGTAAAAGAGTGATTTGAGTGATGAAATAATTGCTGAAAACAAACATGGAAATACACAGTGTCTCAATGTACCTCTTGATGATAACACTTGTATCTCTGATATATCAGTATATTATAAACGGTACATTTAAAAGGAAAACCACTAAAAGGAAACTAGTACCTTTCTATGTGTCCTGTGAGACGGTCTGTGACGTAGCTCTTCTCGCCTTGAATGATCAGAAGCTGTGAGGTTGGTTTGTCTCCCATCATCCAGACTCAAGGCCTCTGCCATGGCATCTTCTAACTGTCCCTCCAGGGAGGGGCGAACCCGTGGAGGGGAGGGGGATAAGGACCGTGTCCGGTGGGTGGGTTCAGCGTCAGATGTTCCTGAAACTAATAAATGTTACCAATCAATACATTTATTTACAGTATTTCAGAGTCTACGGGTGTATTCAAACATGTAGTTTGGTTCCTTTGTTCTGAACGAAGGGGAAACATTACTGTTGCATTTTAGTACTGATGCGGTTCGTGTTCACAGACTCTTCACAAACACACAAGGAGGAGTAAACATGAATTTATACAGACTGACAGCTCACTCTGTGACTGGACAGTTTTGGTGATTGTCATCCTGCATCATTGTGGCAAAATCAAATTCGGGTAACTGACAGAAGTTTAAGCAGCACTTTAATGCTTTTAATGTGTTTGAATGTTCTTTGGTGTTCAGAGACCTTTCCAGTTTGGTTTCATCTTTGAAGATAAGAAATGTGTTAACCTGTGTGCTGTCTTAGAGTCCTGCGACACTCCATGATACTGTCACTGTGGTGGGACTGCTTGTCCTCTTCTCTGACTTCACTGGAGTCTCCACTTTCACTCAGAACTCGTTTCAGCATCTACGGGAACAACACATTGTTGCAAACACAAATGCAAAAGTGAAATACAAATACTATAACCCACCCCAAACAAAACAGACGCATACATACAGAAAGGATTAAAATTAGAAATACACACCTGATCAAGTTCCTCAAGTCGATGGGAGAGATTTTCAGATATGTGATGCAGCTCCTCTTCTGCTTTCTTGTTCCTCTGTCTGCGATATGACAGAGGATCCTCAAAACCTTCCTCCTCTAACCTGGTACTGCTCAGGAAGAGACCATACAGAAGAGATAATTAGAAAAATAAGCATTACATGCATTACAAGCATTACAAGCATACACTGTACAGGCATAACATTTTTCCCCCAACCTCTCTTACCTGTGGACTGTCCTTTCTCTGTGACTCATTCTTCTGTCCAGTTGTCTTTGTGTATAACTCAGAGCCTCCTCATCTTGCTCTTCCTCTTCAGTGTCTGGGGGAGAAGGGGTTGTGGCCGCCATCTCATCCTGCAGGGTGAGGAACAGCACATCCGGCTGGGTGCGGAATAAAACCCTTCTGGGACCTCCGTTAGTTGGCTGAGATTAGACAAAAAAAGAGAATCAAGTTAATTTGCTTCACAAAATAGAAAATCAAAACCAAGAAGAAGGGAAAGAATCATAAATGTATGACATTTGTGTATTAAAATGAATACATTCCTTAATAACATGGATACATACATGGCACAGGATTGGGCTGGAAAAGCCCAACAGATACATTAGCAGGATTGATATTACCTTCACATAACAACAATATGATTTGATTTTACATTAAAATTATGGTTTGTGTTTTTCTGAAGCATTTTTCTTGACTTGTGTTGTTAGACATTTCATCCGACTGAACTGAATTACCACCGTATGATACTGTAGGTCACTGTATGTGTCACTTTATGATCTTGTGTCCACCCCTTTTTTTCTTCAATACACATTCTTTTGGGTATTTTAGCCTTTATTATTAGATACAAATGACAGCTCAAGATACTACCACAGTGCCCTGTGTCCACCCTTTTTAACAGAGGAACCAGTGTAGCACACACAGGTCCAAACCTGACATCCAGCTGGGCTGTTTACAAGGGCTGCTGGATGTGACACACAAGACCTTTTTCATAGCAGCCATTTTGACATGAAAATCGTTAAAATCATTGGCTACACCTGTGTTAACACCCTATTAAGTCCCAATCAGGTCAAACAGAGTCAGGGTGCTGCTATTGTGAATGTTGGCTCACTGGAAATGCAACTGAACTTTAATTAGTTATCATTGGTAACACCTGACCTATTTCATGTCAAACGGTTGATGTGAAAAAAGGTCCATGCTAAGATCTAAATGTGTCTGCATGGGTTAGAGGTAGCTGTACAATTGGTACAAGTGAAGGCTTGTTGTTCTCTTACCACTAGCGCCTCCCCCTCTACATCTGTCCTGGCTCTCTGCTGACTGGACAAAGACTTCTCACTCACCGCTGGAAATTGAGCAAAACATGAAATCAAGAAACAAGCAACACTTCACTCTGCTGTCACATGGGTATGGCAGACCAACCGTCCCATTTGCTAGCTGCCCTGGAGGTCCACGGTCAACTGCAACATTCAGTCACGATTATCAATTATGTAAAGTGCTAGCTTTTAATCCCATGGTCTGTGATCAG